ACATGAAAATCTTTAAGGAAGATGCACAAGAAAGATAGCTATCTGTGCAGAGATAAGTATCTATCAGATATACATTTAAAGGTAAGGAAAAAAGTTTATGCAGATAGTAAGCACTATTGCAGTCTCTTGTACCACTTAAAATAACTTTTGCATCCACTATAATCATATGTCATTGTGTAGTAATTGGAGGGGAATTATTAGGTGGTCAAGAAGTTAATGTCGCTTTTTTTAGATGAAAGAACCCGAACAACTTATATATCCAAACAACACATTTATCAAATGATCTCCATTCTTATCGATGATGCTTTTCCATCTTACAATCAGGTTGTTAATACCCTGGTTAAAGAAATCACTTGACTTTGAAGCAAAAAACATGTTGATGTCCTCTTTAACACCTTCCACATTTGCATACATTTTCTCATTAAGATGGTGTTGCAGTGAATGAAAAAGATGGTAATCTGATGGTGCCATATCTGGAGGAAATGGTGGGTGGGGGAGAACTTCCCAACCCAACTCCATAATCTTGTGTTGCGTCAAACATGCCACATGTGGACGTGTATTGTCGTGGAGAAGAAAAACACCTTTCCGATTGATGAGCGAAGGGGATTTCTGATGAAGGGCTTGATTTAAACGTTCCAGTTGCTGACTATAAATCTCTGCTGTGGATTGAGGAGTTTGAAATGAATTACTTCTTTGATGTCTCACCAAATGCAAAGCATCACTTTCTGTGGATGGAGTCCAGGTTTTGGGGTCGGAAGTGGTTTTTGTCTAGGACTGAGCCATTGTTTTTGGTGTTTAATATTTGCATAGAGAATCCATTTTTCATCACCGGTGACAATTCTGCCCAAAAATGGTTCATGCGCATTACGCACCAAAAGGGACAAAGCAACGTTCACACGTTGGAAACAATGATCATCAGAGAGTTTGTGAGGCACCCAAATACCTTCTTTATGGAGTTTTTCTATATTCCTTAGATGTTTACATATTGTTTCATGAGAGACATGCAATATCAGGGCCATTTCACAAGTGTGTTGACTTGGGTTAGACTCAACAAGCGTATTTTAAGCATCAATATCAATGCCAATATGCTGGTCCCTGCCATCACAGTTTTTAAGGCTAACGTCACCTGAATGAAATTTGCTGAACCATCGTTGACACTTACAAACGTTCAAAACATTTCCATAAACTTCTTTGATTTTCTCTTCTTGTATTCAAACAGCATTACATGCCAAATGTGTATGTTGTCATGTGCCATCACTATAAGTGATTAGAGTATACTAAACTTTACACATTGTATAGGCTACACTAAAGTGACATTAAGGCTGTTCATTTAACTATTATACGTGATGCACGTTTTTTGGGGGTGGTTAATGAAAGTGTTCCAAAACGCGACATTAATTTCTTGACAGCCTAATACATTACTATCTTAAGATGGTTAATAGCTTGGTTTTTTTGATTTTGCAAAATATTTTGAAAAAAGACCAAAAAACACTTGGTGTAGAACAATAGAAAATGATTTGAGAATTAACGACCTGGACAAAATAGAGGTTGAGGAATAGGCAAAAGACTGAATGCAGTGGAGAGCCTTCATATTTGCCCTACATACCACTTGAGGTCTGGAAAGGACTGATAATGATAGGCTATAATCATGTGACCTACAAAATACTTTTCTAGATTTTCTAGAATAGAATTCATAGATTTAAAAGACCAAGACTTCTATATATTGATAGGTCTTTCAAACTTTGGAACACAGAAGTGGCAAGTGTGCTCAATATGATTTTTGATTGTGTTACAGTTGGAACTACACACTGTTACATAAGTATTATTTGTAATTTTTAAATCACCATTGCCAATTTTGTTATTTCACATATTAAAAAGGTTTTTCATAGATAGCCTTTCAAAGCCCTTGACAATTGAATCTTCATTGAGTTTTTATGCTTTTGAGAGAATTGAGTTCTTATTGTTAAGATTTCATTTATAGTTTAATCTACATATTGTACCACCTTTTTTTGTTACTTTTTCAGGAAGTTCATATCTTTCATGTAATAATGAGATCAAAACTGAAAGCAATACTTCAAATAAATTTTAACCATCAACAAACTGGCAAATTATATATTCTGGTCATTGTTTATTTCATGTTACCATATTTGTATGCTACTGGAGACAACAGGTTTTTCTTAACAATTAAAAAGTTTTCTTATACAGCAAATTGATTTTGTTTAGATAATAAATTATATCTTGTGAAAGTTTTTTGTAGCATTAAAAAAAATATTCTGTCCCTCAGAACACACAAATGGGCAAAAGAGAAGGTTATTCAGATATTGTCATGAAAAATGAAGCATTTGAAATGTTCTACAAGGTAGGATAAGATATGTAAAACTTGTTATTTCTTCCTAAACTTTTATGATTTTGATATCGACTAAAAAATATGGTTTGTTATCCACTACACTGGGTTTGAAGGCTAAGTTACCAAAATGTTTGGAAAACCTCTTTCATCTTTATTGTAAAATTTTAATTGTCTAATTGTTCATAACCAAGTAGTTATTCATATAACTTTTTTACTTTTAATATGTATATTTCATGTGCATCATACCAAATACAAAACTTTTTTATAACAGTAACATTTTGTTTTAACACCTACTATTTGTGAAACTGATGAGATATTTCTTTAGGCACAGAAAATTGTTTCTGAGGATGAATGGGATACTTTTCTCTCATCACTTAAGGATACACTTCCAGTAACTTTCAGGATTACTGGATTCAAAGCGTAAGTACAAAAAAAGGTTTAGTATCTTGTTGAAGTACAAACTAGTTTTACTATGTACTTTGCTTCACAAAAAAATTCCCTGGAGAATTCAGCCAGACATGGCCAGGTGGTTAGGGTGCTTGATTCGCAATCTGAAGATCATAGATTCGACTTCTTGTCCCACCAAACATGCTCGCCCTTTCAGCCATGGGGTGTTATAAGTTATGGTCAATTCCACTATTCATTGGTAAAAGAGTAGACCAAGAGTTGGTGGTGGGTGATGAGGACTAACTGTCTTTCCTCTAGTCTTTCACTGATAAATTAAGGATGGTTAATGCAGATAGTCCCTGTGTTGTTGCTTTGCACAAAATCCAAACCAAACCCTGGAGAATTCCATGAACAAGTGCAACTACAAAAAAAATTATTGAGGACAAATGATGAATAGTATTGCCTCTTTCAAAGGTTAAAGTTATTTAAAAACTTTATTACATAAATCTCCTCATGTAAAGAGTTAAAAACTTATCCAGTTTTCAAGACATTTAGTCGTGTATCTTATCGTATTTATTTATGTGGCAGTAAGTCTGAATGCTTGTATTGCTAAAAACCTGGTTTTGATACTTGTGGTGGGCACAGCACAGATACTTCATTGTGTAGCTTTGTAATTAACAACAAACAAACAAACATACAAATTTATTTATGTGAAGATCTACTAATGATATATTTCTTCATTTGTAAAAAGAAATTCAGCATGTAAAATTTTTATCAACTTTATTATCTGGGTAAGTAAGTCCTGTTTCTGGAAACAAAAAATATCTTAATACCTTCATGGCAATGAAATCAGTAAATAAAATACATAAAGTTTTAGTCCTGATATTCTAAATAAAAAACACACTCAAATGCAGATTTGTTTGTCTACATCTTCCTTATTTAGTTTATTAAAGATTTCAAATCAGAGGCATACAAAAAATAACATTTTGAATCAACTTTTATTTGACACATGTTGCTGCCCAGGAGGCCTTTCATTCAATTCCAGAACTGGTCAGCTGAGCTAGCTATACATGATGGGAAATTAAAGTCTAAACAGAATGCTATTTTATATGTAGTATTGTATTGTATGAAGCAGTTAATGTTATGGTGTTAAAACACTAAGCATTGAAACCAGCAGGCCTAATCTTGATAAAAAGCACACTATATTGCAGAAAGACAGCGTTAATTATAATTTTTGATCATGTAATTGCAATATCTGTAGTATTCTGAAGTCACTTGAAGTGAAAATCAAACTATATTTCAATTTTTAATAACTGTGTTTTGTTATAAAGATTGTAATTTTTTTAGAAATCTTGCTAACTGCTAAAAGCATTATTACATAAGAATAAAAAATATGGTAAAATTATGAATCCATTTCACTATGATAACACAGGAATTGAAGAAATACAGAAATATAGTGACCTTTTTTTTTTATTTCTCTGTCTTTCTTATAATAGAAATTAAGGAAATGTGGTAAAAATATGCCCACACTTTGCTATGATAATAAATGAAAGAAATCTGACATTAAAGCCATATTTCTCCTCTCTGGGACTTGTGTGAAGTGTAAGAATTATAGAAATCTGATTTTTTTACTCTGTTTCTTTCTGCTAATGCAAGAATTCAGAAGATACAGTATCAATATAAAAATTAAAGTAACTCAAATTCAAATTGAGCATTTCTGCTTTATTGGAAATCAAATTTAAAGTTATACTGTTTCTAATATCTTACTGTGATTTGTTTTTATTTCAAATTTGTTTCTATTATTTGGAAAAAATTATAATGGACTGTCCAACAACTTAGATTTTTTAAAAAGCCAGTGAACTATTAAATTGTTTGTATTATTATTTAAGTTACATTTTTTGAGTTACTTTTAGCAAAGCATAAACTGAAAAAACACACTAAGGAGGAATATATCACTGCCATGAGTTTCAAAAGAGACAAGTTTTTATGAAGACACTGCTTCAAGAAGAAGAAATTTATGATGGAATGAATAATTTTATTACAGTATCTTATTTTGTACAGTAAATTATATATTTTTATTGTTCTCAGGCAAGCAAAAGCCCTGTTGAAGATCATCCAAAGCCAGTATTTCCATGAACTACTAGATGTAGAAGTAGAGGGAGAAAGAGTTGAATCTCCATTGAGCCTCTCATGGTACAGATATTATTTGTTCTCTATTTATATTGAAGTGTTTCTAGTTTAAAAATGGGACAGAAAATTGATGCTTGTTCAATGTATATTTCATAAAGTTTGTGATGTCAGAATCATACTACTGATAAAAAATTCTTTCTGATTAAGAAAATAATAAAATGCATAACTATTTATCAAGTTAGACTAGGAAATGTACTTATTTATGTAATTGTTGTGTTCTGTTGTAAAATCAGAAATTATTAGATTTATCGATTGAATGTTTTCTTTACCAAGTAAATTGAATCTAAGTAAAGGATCACTTTGATTTTAATTTTTTAGAAGTTTCTAATTGTAATTTTCTTTACTTTTACATAGGTATCCAGACAAACTAGCATGGCAGCTTAAAATTTCTCGTAAGATTATTCGGAAATCAGAAGAGTTTGAACGTTTGCATAGCTTCCTAATATCTGAAACTGAGAGTGTAAGATTTTACATTTGAATCTGTATTTGTATTTTTTATGCTAAAATGGGGGTTCAATTAAAATATTACTACTATTACATGACAAATATTCTAGAACATATTTTTATTATTATCTCATCATCAGTATCCTGAAATGACTGATTTAGGCACTTAAGATAGATAAGAACTTTACAATTCTTAATACACTTGTGCTGTATTAGGGCTAAGGAGAATATGTGAAACTAGTTTATCAAAAAAATTTTACCATAGAATCTGTGAGGGACAAGTTAATAAATATTGATTCTAATACAGTATGTTACCTCCTCTCAAATGTATAGCTATTATTGCTTAGTGCTGCCTCCTATATGCTGTCATTTTTTTGCATGCCACAAGCTTTGAACTCACACGTATCCACACGATCAACATAGTTCAACTGTCTCTAGCATGCAAATCATCATGCAACTTCTCCACCAATAGGAGTGTGACACACCCTCTTGATGCATGTGACTCCCTCTATTTGATTCTACCGAACTATCACTTCTCGTTAGGCAATGATTGAGTGCAGACATTTTTCACTTGTGCTCTTTTCACATGTTCATTTCTTTTCTTTTTTTTTGTGAAGTAGTGATTTACTTGATTTATTCATTTGTTACAATTAGTTTTTTCTGTTGTAGTGTACCACGATAACTTACCTTTGTTTATTGATTTTGTTTTCCTTATTTTCAACTTCTTTATGGTTTAAGATGGATTCCGAAGTTTTGGTATTACAACTTCTTATATTATTAGGACTATTTCATGTGCTTTTTTTTTCTTTCTAAATACGGTTTTTTTGGTTACCCATTGCACTGTATCTAGTGTTGGCATTCCTCCGGACTCTCCACTACATTTTTCTCCCGTGTTCTTCTAGTAAAGTATGAGAGTCCTTGTCACTTTCCAGTTCTAAGCTGCTGGGGTGGTGGACCTTAGAGGAGTCTTCCTAAACGTGTTTGTTTCCATTCAGTAGAGAGTGGGGCAGTGGTGTTTTGCTGGTGTACATGGCGTGCGATCCTCCAATTATGCTCTTCATCTCCATGCAGTGGGTCCTGGAGGTTGATGTTGTGCCAAGTATTTGTGTGGTTCAATCCAGATGGCGAGGTTGCTCATATTGTATCAATGCAGTCCACTTCCATGCAGTGGGACCCAGAGGTTGCTATTGCACTCTGGCCTTTGTGCAGCCTTATCCAGAGGATGTTGCTGCTTTGGAGTAGATCTGTCACATTGCAGTTCACCCCTTCAATTGGGATCCCTCATCCTACCATCACCTGGATGTCGGTTCCCAATTAGTAGTTTTGGATTAGAGCTCGACCAATCAACATAAATCCTCACACGTGTTGGTTATATTTCCTCTTGCTCACTCAATTTACCTCAGAATCTCCACCTCTGTTTGGTGGGCTCCAGAGGTTGATGTTGTGTCAAGCTTCTGTGCGGTTTTGTCTGGATGGTGAAGTTGGTATATGTTTCTAGAGGCGAGGTACTTCCATGCAGTGGTACCCTGAGGATGGTGTTGCGCTCCAGCTTCTGTGCAGTGTGGTCCTATCTGGAGGATGATGCTGATCAGAAAGATGGTTCTTCTTCTCATGCTCCACCTCGGGGTGTTTCACTGCCTTAGGCTGATGGTGTGTAGTAGGGCGCCAGTGTAATTGAGTTTGGGTTTGATGTGATCTGCGACATTGGCACATGTCTTATTACCATAATTTGGATGTTTGGTTCCCAGATATGTGGTTAGTTGTGGATTTGTGCACATGTGCCCATTTATTTGGTAGATCAGTTTGCACTGTGTATGCTTCCATTCTACTTAATTTGAGGTGAAGATGGTGTGGACCTTCCTCCTGCCATGGGTCAGAGGTTCTATTCCTGATGCTGCTTGGGTTTGAACTGGAGTTGACTGGCCACATATGGTCCATTGCACCCTAGCCACTTTACACTTTGGAGCACATTGATTTTAGCTTTCCCCACATTCCTGTCAGTAAATGGTTCTTCTACAGGATTAAGATTCTGGTATATTGTGGTTCAGATTCCAGTCAACTGGTTTTTCTCACTTTTTGGTTATGCTCTTCCCACTTTTTGCCAGTATATGTGACACTGATTTCTGCACTGGGGTCAGAGTATACCTGGTACAGAAGTGGTGCAGTCTCCCATGTGTGTTCCTCTCCCAATGTGGATCACATTTCGTGGATGTTCTTTGGATACTTTCAAAAGATACTTATTTCCAACCATCGCATTGGTCCCTTTGCCTGTTCATTGTGGGATTCTAGCTATGCATGTGAGAAGAGGTAATGTACCATATTGAAAGTTATAATTTTTTTTGTACTGAAAATAGATTTCCAATAGGTACTTACTTCTGCTCATACTTTCTCCACACTGAAAATTGGGGCTTTCATTTTTGCCTAATCTTGAAATGATAATTCAGTAGAATCGAATAGAGGGAATCACATGTGTCAGGAGGGTGTGTTCCACTCTTATTGGTGGAGGGTTGTCACATGGTGATTTGCATGCTAGATGAAGGGCAGGACTGAACAAGAATAGTTACACATGTGAGTGGAGGTAAGTACCTATTGGAAATCTATTTTCAATATAAGAAAATGATAACTTCTGTGAGGGACAAATTATTAAAATCATTATCTATATATATAATAGCCAAGTGTCTATCTGTGTGTGTCATGTTCTGTTTCTCTTGAAAAGTTAACCATAGAAAAATAAATATATATCAAAATGCTACTTTTCAAGAATACATTGCAAGAAATTATTAATTTTTTGTAATTCCTAAAATTTCATATCCATATCAACATCAATCCACCAATCTTCATATGTGCTGAACAGTCAGTCTGAGAAAAAAAGAACAAAAATGCTTCTTTTTGTGAGGGAATTTCATGAAAAACATGAGAATTCTTTTGTCGACTGATTGAAAGAAATATTTCAAAAATAGGAACATGAACAGAATAAATGCATAAAGAGAGGAATTTGTTTGAGTATATATATTTATTGTTGTTTGTTTTATATATACTTTTTTTTTTCATGTCAATATTATATACATGCCTGATTTTACTGTACTGTGTTTAATCAATTGGATTGAATATCTCCATTGACACTTCTTATTGAAATGTCAAGTATAAATAAGTGCCCACTTTAGTAGCAGTCTTTTCTTGCACTCAGTAAAATGACAAGAAATGGAATGGTGACATCCAACAGAAAAACTCCTGCTGCTTTGTAGCGAACTCAAACATTTTTGCCTACAATGCATTGCAGTCAGTCTCATTTATTTGCATAAAAACGAAAGCAATGCAATTTTCGTTATTGGAATAATACATGGAATAACAAAAGATGGTTTTAAACAGCCCACTAGACAATCATATTGCATATACACTCTGATCCAAACTTTAAATTGAATGCACATTTTATATTTATTCATCATTATTTTTAGAACAATTTCAGTTGAATTGTTTCAGTGGACATCTGCTAGTTGTAGTGATTCAGTGAGGAACAAATTATTATAATCACAGGGGACAAAATATTTTGGTGGATTTGATTAGCAGAAACTGCTAATCAATATTGAATTTGATTAGAAATTAGCTAATATTGCTCAGCATTTTTATAACATTCATCATTTTAACACGTTACAGCAACTAAGTCCAGCACTAAAAGTCTTAACTCTTTGTAAAGACATCCACTGATGAAAAATAGGTAAATGGTATGTTTGTTATTCTAATAACACTTTTATTCAGCTTCAAATCCTGATATTTAATTGTACCATTCATTGCATTTAATGAATGAAATAGTTACTGATGTATAAAGTAAAACTTCAAAACTACAAGAAATACCAAAAGTTCAGTTGTCACAAAATAATGCAACAATTGATTAACCAGAGAAAGAAGTGACATGAAGATGTTGCAACTGAACAAGATTGCCACAAATTATTTTTCAAATTAATCTAGTTTTTTTATTTTTTTTGTTGAGACCTCATCACTGTCTTTGCAACATGCTCTTATTGGTTTTTTGAAGAAGAAAATGTGGATGACTTTTCAGCAGTAATTATGTTTCTTGCCATGGGCATCCCTTACTGTGCATGTCACAAGGTTTTTAGTGAGTTACATTCAAAATTTAATTAAACTACTCTTTGTTTGTTCATGTTATACCAATTAGTATTGCATAAAATCATAGAGAATAATCCATATTTTAATAATATACAAGATTTAACTTTTTAATTTTATAAGACAATGTTATAATAAATCCTGAATTTCCCCTAGTGTGAGAAATGTGACATTTTTTCTTTAAGCATCCCTTATTTATCACTCCTTCAAGAAGTATGAAATTTAACGTAAATTACTTGTTATAGTATTGTCATTGCTTAGATAAAGTGTAATTTTCATAGCCTTCAATTTTGTTTGGTTACAGAGTCATCAAATAGAAAATCAGACCCCCTCTTGCTACACCCACCTGTCACATCCTCTTTTTCAGGATTTTCTCTCTTACATTTAATACTATATTATTTTTAACCAATAGAAAGCCACGGTTTTCATCTATCAAATGATGGATGATATTACATTGTTTTCTGTACAGAAAAATGTTAATTTATCTTCCAATACAAGATTTGTTCCCACGAGAAATGCATCAACTAACTTTGATGAATTTGTAATGGCTCTTGTCACATAGATTGAAAGCCAGAAAAATTGTGATAGTTATGGGATATTGTCTGCTTTTTGCATGTTATTATTCTATGTTCTTTTATACATTATGTAAGCCCCCCAGTGGCACAGCAGTATCCTGCGGACTTACAATGCTAGAAACTGGGTTTTGGTATCCGTGATGGGTAGAGCACAGATAGCCCTTTGAGTAGTTTTGTGCTTAACTCCAAACAAACAAACAAAATATTATGTAATTAGATAAAAATTATTTAATGCACCACTACCATTAGTATAAAAAAAGTAGGGTTAAGTGTCATTGACAGTTGATAGCAAAAAAAAGCTTCCTGTAGCTCGTAGGTAATACAATTTGATAGCATAATGTGAATCGCACGTTCTCCAAGTGATTTACAACTTATATAATAATGGCACGAATAGTACTAGTAGTTAGACATGGTTCAAAGGGCAATAAACGATAAAATGTAAGTATGAATAGATGTATACTGTTACGAGTTTAAAGCTACTTAGGATAAACAAATGTAGTTTTGTGTTATAATATGAAGTCATTTTAGAATGAAAAAAAGATAATTTAGATTTTTTTTTGTGCTGGTTATGAGTCGGTCAAATTGATCAACCTTGTTTAGAGTTAGAGTACAGAAAATAATACTGAAAAAATATAAAGTTTTACTGAAAAAATAACGTCTGAAATGTATTTAGGAGGTTTTAGAGATTATGTAAGTGACATTTGAGATTTTTGAGATGAAGAATATTTTTAATCTTAACATGAAAATCATTTTGCACTCAGACTGGTCTAAAAAAGATTTGATATCTTTACAGATAAATCTTTAGTAAAAATATTTCATTAAAAAGCTGATTTTTTGTGTACAAACGATTTGTAATATTTATTGAAATTCCACTAAATTTTGTGAAGATACACATATTGTATGAAAAGTTATAGTATTAAAACTATATACAAGTAAAGATAGTCATGTGGTCAATCCTTCGGATCGAGCCTGTATTGACAGTTCGTAACCGGGCCAGTGCTAAATGTGCAATGCATGTACTGTACATATGTAGTCTAGTCTAGTTGGTTAGGCTGGGGGGTGCCGAACGGGCATATTCCAAACATCATGAACAGACTACTACAAACTGTATGTGTAGGTGAAATATGCATGACGAGGTATGAAAATACTGTATGTGCCATTTGGTAGGAATTTCTGAGAAATGAACATCGGCTTTGGTATATCAAGCTGAAATGTTACGGAGGTTGTTGGAGGTCTTGAAGACAACGTACAAGAGAAAGGAATGATCCATACATTTGCCACTGACTGTAGATAACAAAACGTTTGCCTTACAATCTATGCTAATGAGAAAACTTACTGTAGTTAAAAAAAAACTTGTGCCTGAGAACCTATGTTGATAAGAAATCTAACTGTACATAATAAATTTTGTGTATAGCAACTTATGTTGAGCAAAAACCTGACTGTAGATAATAAAACTTGTTTTACATGATCCAGATAAGCTAAGACATTTTTCTCAAAAAGAAAAATCTCTATAAATTAAGGTTGTTACAATTATGTAAATGTTACATGAAAAAAAATGTAATTATATATACATATATACACACACACACACACACACACATATATATATATATTGATTCAGGGAACAAAATATCTTGGTTTGCATCACAACTTGCAAATCAAAACCCCAGTTGTAAGTCCTCTTTGCTTAGCATCAGTGGTATGTCTGCAGACTTATACTGCTAGAAACGAAGTTTTGATACCCATAGTACAAACAAATTGCTAAACAGTTATCACACTTATGTTCAGTTTCATTTGAATTTTTGGTACACATTCATGTAACTTGAAGTATTTTTCTTAACTGTTTTTTAGAACTTTGTCAATTATTATTTTATACTTTTCAGGGAAATATAAGTAGGCAAGAAGCTGTCAGCATGATTCCACCTCTTTTATTAGATATCAAACCTCATCATAAGGTTAGATTTTTGTTTGTCTTTTAGAAATTAAAAGTTCTATTTTTTTTGCATATAATCATTCAACAAAACTATAGTAGTGTTCTATATAATTCATACTAAATATAAAAAAATAACATAATCATGTTTTAGTCAACCAAACTGTAACTATGCTTTGTATACTAAAGGACTGGTTTTTACCTAGCTGTAAACAGTGTCTGAGTGTGTGTGTATATATCTTAAATGTTTTAAGAAGTTTGAGTTAAATCACAATTCTCTAAGACTAAATCTCATTTAGGGAGAAAAATCATTAATACTTTCTTCTAAGTTGATGAAAAGTCAAATGACATTGTAAGGCAGTTATCCTGATGTAAGACACTTTCCAGATACATTACAATTATAATAAACAATTTGTTAATGTGATTATCTTACCAAGGTCTTTGTTTATGTGATAGTGATTAAATATTTACACATCAGGAAGGGTAGATCAAGGCTAGTATAAAAGTAGAAGTTTATATTTCAGGGTCATGTCAAACAATTGGACATTATAAGTAAGGTCCATCTAGAGGTTATACATGAAAATTAGGTAGAATAAGGGGAACTGTCGACCAGGATTATGTGGAACAGTATAACTTTGTCGGTCAGGATCATGTAGGACAGAAATTATGTAAGTGAAGGTCTGAGGAATGAGTGGAGATATATAGGTCAGGGGTTATTGAGAACAGCAGAGCTATATCTCATCTTAACAAAGAACAGTAGTACTGTATAAATCAGAGTAATATAGAGCATGGAACAGGTCATGGTTATGTGCAAACAGTACAACTATAAATCAGAGTAATGTAGAACATGGAATTGATCAAGGTTATGTAAAAACAATATAGGTGTAAATCAGAGTACTATAACAGATAAAATAGGTCAACATTATGTAAAACTGGCAATTGTATATTAGAGTAATGTAGAACATGGAATAAGTCAAGTTTATGGAATTGTATAAACACAGGCAAATAAAACAGTGAAATTGTATAAACAAGGTTGTATTAAGCAATGAAACTATAAATTATGAACATGTAGAACAATGGAACTATAAATTAGGGTTATGTAGAACTGAGTTCTTATAGGTCAGGATCATATAGAACATTGGAACTGTATAAATTAGGATAAGTAAAAGAATGGGGCATTTTTAATCATGATTACATGAACATGCCATATTTTAAAATGTCTAAAAGACTCAAACGATCGATGCTATTTAGCACACAGTTAAACTCTTTATTCTAAGACTGATTAATGGTCTCAGAACAATAATTTTAATTGTGTGCTAAATAACTGATCATTTGAGTCATTTAGATATCTTAAATATTTACATAAGTACCTTGAATTTTAACCTTTTAATATACTATATTTTATTAATTTATCCAACAGTAGGTTTGAATTTGCTTTTTCATTTAGATATTAGATATGTGTGCTGCTCCAGGTTCAAAGACAGCTCAGATCATTGAAATGCTACACAAAGAAGAAACTGGAATTCCAGGTATTGCTGTGGTGAATTTTTATGTTTAGTTCTAAAACGTACATTTTCAGTAGTTTATGAAGTGTTTTCTTTGAGATTTATATTTGAAGGATAAAAAAAAAATATTCTGCTTTGTGTTATACTTCTAATAGGTGGAGTTGTTGTAGCTAATGACATGGACAACAAACGTTGCTACATGTTAGTTCACCAAGCCAAGCGCCTCCACAGTCCATGCTGTATAGTAACCAATCATGATGCTTCACAGATGCCAAACTTGAGAGTAAAAACAGTAGGTATTTTAACTACAGTATTTCTGGTGCAGGAAATACATTTAAAAGACTAATGTCAAAATGGGGTGTACTTAAAATGTTGATGAATAATCAGCCATAGGTGTATACTGTTTTTGGAATTCATTTATTTGGAATAAGTTTACGTTTGTGTTCTTCTTTCTTCCAAAAAATTGTATCCAGTAAAATACTTCTACAATTCACAAAACTTCATGAAGTAAGTTTGTAATTTTGGCTGTTTCATCTATTGTTGGATCAACATTGCATACTATGTGAATGTTATACTTACTCTCCACTTATCCTAATTTTAACATTGTGATTTTAGTTTGGCTATTGAAAGATTTGTTTTTGGTTTGTTGACCTACACTTATACATATGTATTTTAGTTAGAAGTTTTACTTTTGTGTTTGTGTATTAGAGACAGATAATAAATTTTAATTGATAAACAACTTCATACAGGTAAACCAACAGTGATGGGGATAACAGTAGGAGCTCTGTAGTATTTTATGTTAAACTGTATTTTTTAATAATCTCACCAAGAATGATCTAGGGTATAATTTGTTTTATAAACTGTGTGCAAACAAAAGATGATCTGATTAGCTTAGAATAACATGATTTTTGTGCTCTTGATCACAAGTTTTATAACTTTTATTCAGGCACTATAAAGAAGTTTTACATCAAGTGTTTATATACCACTGTGGTAGTTTTGGGGCAGCTTTAAAGTAAGATTCAATTTTTTAGTTGTGTGTGTGTGTGTGTGTGGGAGGTTGCTGGTATAAATTTATGAATGAGTGGTATAATACTGTGCTGCTCCTACATAATGCCATAATGGGAAAAGAACAGATTTGAAATGGATATTTCACTGTTTTTCCAGTGCTACGACAATGGTAATACTGTTCTTGATAAACCAGACTTTAAAAAAAATCATGAACCCCCTCAAACAGGATTTTTTTGTATGTATGTATATTAATACATGTATATACTTGAATTAAGTTAAAGTTGTGTTCACAGAAGTTTCTTTTTATACATTTTTTGTTTGATTGGAAATGTTTTATAATTGAATAAAAATATTTAGTTTTAAGAATTTAAAAGTCTCTATAAAATTTATTTTTCTTAGCCAACAGGCAAAACAGAAGTTTTGAAATACAACAGAATTCTCTGTGATGTACCTTGTAGGTGAGTTCGTTTATTTATATATATTTCTTTGTATGAAGGACAGTCTTTAATTTTTAATAATTGTTTTCTTATTATTATATCTTAATTCAGCAAGGTTTAGTTTAACCAAGTATTTACCTTATGGTTGCTAAGAAAATATCTAAACTCTTTTCAATTTTCTTATCACTGGTAGAGTCTAGTTAACATAGCTGTCTCAAGTATGTAATAAAAACTATAGACAGTACTAAACAGAATCTTATCATTTGGAATTAAATGTCAATTTTGTAACCATTGAGAGATATTTCAATAAATAGATCATGAAATTATGCTAGTAATATTTCTAGCTTCTGAAAAACAAAAACAAATTGTAGGATTGAGTGATTCTGCTTTCCGTTTAAGATCGCATTGCTAAACTATCCTATTCCACATGAATGTACTCCCTTTAATGTTCTGCCATGTCTGGTCCTCCTGATCATGTTGATACCTGGCTCAGATGTGGTGCGATACCCCTCTTCAGATCATCTGATCTGTTCCTCTCATTTTGGGGGTGTCCTCCAGATGCTTCAAGGGGATACACCTGTGCTTCCTTTGCACCGGTTCCTTCTCTATTTCAATGTGATATTCAAGCTAATCTTATGAGCAGAGGGGGAGTATCTTATTGGAAGTTATAATTTTCACAAATAAAAATGTATTTCCGTTTTCTCACACTTCCCAGCCTTCCGGTGCTCATGTCATATGCCAAATTTTGAAGTCATAGTTCGGTAGTGACACATAGAGGGAGTCGCATAGTAGTGCTCTCCTATTGGTGGAGAGGTGATGCATGATGATTTGAATGAGAGATATGTTGGAACTTTGAATTCCAATAGAGGGTGGATGATGGCTTGTGCCATGCATTTCTGAAAAAGTTTGCATATAGAGGGCAGCACAAAATGAGAAAAGCTAATCTTGTGAGCGGAGGGAAATACCTATCAGAAATACATTTTCATTTAGGAAAATTATGACTTTTAATAAAATTATACATATCTAAAGGGTTAAGAAAACAAAGGAACTGATTATAAACAGAGCTCTCTATAATTTACTAATCTCCCTCAATAAACAATATTTTTTCAAGATAAATTTAATATGCAGAGTTCAGTATAAAATTTGTACGTATTTAATAACTTTATCTAAAAATTTAATACTCATATTAAGTTTTAGCAAAATGAGATAAGAGGAAATTAAATTTTATTTTTCTGTAAGGTAATGAAAATGATACATTTATCAGTTTAATTCAAAATTGCACAACTTGTGATCAGAACCTCTTGTAACTAATGTCAGTTTGAGCTTAGTGTTTTAACACCTAAGATTTCTAATCTACTTTTGGTTTTTAATGTGTGATTAGAAAGATTTTATAATGTTCTGTTCTTGATAATTTTGTACTTTTTATCCTTAATAACTGAATAAAAAATGTAATCTCATATTAAAAACAGCTGAATGTAAAAGTTTTGGTAATTTTTTAAAATAACTAGGCAAGAACTGTCATCATGACATATGCAACGATTTGTACAGTTACAATGTTTGCCACCACTTGTATTGGAGGCTGGGCATTGTCTAGTGGTTAGCATTATGGACTGTTGACCTGAGGGTTCATGATTTGCATTCTGTTACGAGAAAAAAAAATTGTGCTCTGCACTTTGTGGTTGTAGGTGCTTTATAACAGATTATCATTTCATTATTTGATTAGAATAGCCCAAGTGTTGGTAGTGGATACTCATGACTAACTGCCTTCCTACTAGTTTATCTGTTCAAACTTAGGGACAGTAGATCAAATAGTCCTTGTGTAGCTTTGCTCAAATGTATGAAACAAATAGTTATTAAATAATGAAGGTAATGTTAGAAGTAATTTTTTTGTTGTATTCAAGAATGAAAAATAGGATAAAATTTTGTTTTCAATCCCTTAAGTGGTGATGGAACATTAAGAAAAAACATTGACATTTGGAGAAAATGGAACGTTGCTCACGGGAACAACTTAAATGGGTAGGCATTATTTTTTGTTTCAGTTTTGGTTCATTGATCATCATTTGTAGTTTTGTTAATTTGCCTATCAGTTTCTGTCTTAGGAAGCTAGTGACGCAAGTTTTAGTTTTATGAGTTACCAATTCTTATAATCATATTAATAAAAATTACGAATATCGTTGTTTTATAATGATGTTTAAACAGTTTGGCTCTATGGAGGTATAAGACAAGTTTGTAAATTTTGTAGCTGCTTCAATTTGTCCATAGTTTAAATGTCAGGTTCAAATCCATATAGTTACTTGAAAGAATTTTCTGCACTTTAAAGCTGTGGTTGTGTTATAAGAGTGACAGTCAGTTTCTTATCATGGGTGGTAGAGTGCTGTTGACTGGCAACCTTCCTTACCTCTGGTCAGTAGCTGAAATTTAGGAATAATTATTTTAAATCTAATATTAATTAAAAAAAAAAAAGAATCTTGTTCATGGTACTTTGTAGTTGTCAGTGTTTTTATTTGGCTTACTCAGTATGCTACTAATACTATCAAAGAGCAGTATAAATACTTAGCATGTGTATATCACACTTTCATTGCTCAAAATACATAATATCTTTTTACTTCAGTTATTAATATGGTACAAAGTCCTGGCATGGCCTAGTGGTTAGGGAGGTCAACTCACAATCTCCAGGTTGTGGGTTCAAAATCACTTCAATGAACATACTCATCCTTTCAGCCATGGGAGTGTTATAATGTGATGGTCAATCCCACTGTTTGTTGGTAAAAAAGTAGCCCAAGAGTTGGTGGTGTTGACCAACTGTATTCCCTCTAGTCTATCACTGCTAAATTAAGGATAGCTTGTTCAGGTAGCCCTCAAGTAGTTTTGCATGAAATTCAAAACAAACCAAAACTATGATACAAAATGATCAAGAAAATAATATCATAGTAAGTTCATTTAATTTCTGAGGAAACTGATAATTGTTGTGTATGAATCTCAGACAGATAATTGTGACACACACACACACATACACCAGTTAAATGGATTTACATTAATGTCACATGTTCATGCAGTACTGATTACACACACACACACACACACCAGTTAAATGAATTTGCATTAATGTCACATGTTCTTGCAGTACTGATTAAACAAACAGAGAAGTGGGATGAGGTTTTTTTTTTTTACTAATTTTTGTGCTTAGGTTTTATATTGGGTATGTGTGTACACTACACACATACACAGCAATATGTATATCTAAAAAGTAAGCATTCGAAATACATATTTATAGAACTGTGAAAGTTACTTTAGTCTAAATATTTTTTTTTGTTCATATATTTAAAGCCAGACTGCTGCAAACATATCTATCTAGTGTCAAATTAAAATAGTTCAATTGGATACTATTTATAAATTCTTTGTATATATATATTTTCAGATAACTAATTAAATAACAATATTTCTCTGATAAAATAAAAAAATGGTAATTTACATATCACATTGTCTAAGCATTTCTGTAAGTGAATATTTTACTAAAAATGATAAAATAACCTGAAGCTTGTTTAAAAAAGTTCTTACTAATACAATAATGTTCCATATTGTAATACAGTAATTGGCTACTTCCCTGCAGGGTCAGGCTAAAACATTACTTACATGTATTTCTGACATAGTTATTTTATTTTTGTTTATGAATTCATTACCAGACTGTTATTGTCATTTTCCAAAATTCATAAACATTATATCCAATATAAGCACAGCTGAAATACATTAGTTTAGCATAGTATCATGCTTTGCATAATTCTGCTTATTTCTCTATTCCACATAAGGTATTGTTATTATGTAAGTAAAATGTGTTATGTAAATCTCAATATTTTCATTGATAATTGAAAATAAAAATGATTGGTTGATTCATTGTGCTTTCAACTATTATGCAAAACATAGATGAAAAATAAATAATTTCTGTTATTTAGACTTGACCAAATGTTTTTTGTTCTCTGTTAAAAATTTGCATTGAATATAGAGGCCTCTATGAATCTGCATGCCTGCAGACTTAATTTATATGTACATCCTTGACAGGTTTCCTTCTGTCTTTTAGCTTTTTATATAAAAGTTACCGGGTCTCTGTAACTATTGGAAACTCTGGTAAATTCTGTAAATGAGCAGAGACATAGCATTCATATAGGCTTATAGGCAAATAAAAAGTGAAATTGAAGCAAAGTTTTTTAAATTTACATTACACAGGCCTAACTTTGCCACTGATGTGTGTGGTAAAATTTTGTGCTTTTTTTGTATATCTTGTGAAGTGAAAATTGTAAGTGTCAGTTTCAGTCTAGAATGTTATGTATCAATATTTCTTCCAGTAAATGATTGTTACTTAACAACAACATCTCAGGATGATATTGCTACCACTTGGTGTATCTTAATTCTCCATTTACACAGGCGAAGATATAGGCAACATGTACATACTGTATATATCTGAATGTTATTTCACAATATCGTCCTTGAATAGTACTGCTACATCTTGATGTATCTTAGTTTTCCATTTACACAGGAGTAAATATAAATAGTATGTACAACAGTATGCCCATACTCATGCTATCTGATGTTGCTTAACAACATCCTGGAGTAGTCATGTTACCTTTTGGTTTATCTTAGTTTTCCATTTACATAGAAGTAAATATAAACAACATGTACAGACTTTCTATTTTAAATGTTTTTTTTGTCCAGTTATTGTTATTAACCTGTTTCATGGTTTAGTATGTTTCATGGTAAGAGTGTTGATTGTGTTAAGCAGTGTTTTATTGTAAAAATTTCATTGCTTGTAACAAACATTTCACTTATTGTTTATTCATACTGCAGTTTCTCATGTAAATGTTTCAAGAAATTTTATGTCTTCTGTTTGTTTTCTTTTTTCTGCTTAGGATCACATGTAACATCTTCTGATATAATTAATATTAAGCCACTCAAGCAGCTATTGATTTCTTTCTTTCTCAAAGAAATGTAACATTATTTTCTATAGAATTATTTTTTTCTTTATACTGTTAGAATACAATCAATCATTTAGACTTGTTCCTAACTGTAACATCTAAAAATTTTGAGTGAACTGACAATATTTGACAATGTTTACATGCTAGTGTAAATCATAATTTTATTTCTTTAAGGTATCAGATGTTTTCTTACAATTTATAAAGTTATCTCCATAGTTTTCTAGTTTTGTCTCTGTATGTTTTTTAAATATCTTTTTTTTACAAATTTTCCCAGACTCCAACTAAGAATAGCTAAACGAGGTTTGGAACTTCTTCAAATTGGAGGGCTAATGGTCTATTCCACATGCTCACTAAACCCAATTGAAAACGAGGCTGTCATTGCTGCCCTTTTATTACAGTGTGAAGGTAGTAATGCAGTGTTGTTGTTTTTTTATGTTTGTTTACTTATTTTTGTTTCGAAAATCAATAAATGTTATGAAATTATTTTACTGTTGTCATACCTGTCATATACTGCTTTTACTTTAATTGTGCTAATAAATGGAAGGATAAATTTTTGTAAATAATAATATTTCACATATTTTATTGCACAATGTAAGTACTTTTTTGTAGTTAATAATTTAGATTTTATTTCTCTTAAAATGCATATCTTAGACTACAAGCTGTCAAGCTAATTGTTATAAAGTTTTTAAAAGTATTAAACTGCAAAGTTTAATGTTTTGCTTTAAGAATTTTTAACTTTTTTCGGAGTAAATAGCTCTACACATGTTGATCTTATATCCAAATGTAGGAAGTGTAGAGTTACTAGATGTAACAGAAAAGCTACCAGGACTAAAGACAAGTCCTGGACTAAACCACTGGAATGTTATGACAAGAGAATTAGAAGTTTTCGAAAATTATGAAAATGTGCCAGAGCGATCTCGTACACAGATTAGACCACACATGTTTCCACCCTCTCCTGAACTTCTGGAAAAACTACATTTACATAGATGGTAATACAAGTTGTTTGATTGATTTTTTGCTTCCTATTTAACATTTTATCTTATTATATACTATTATCTGATGAATTATTTTCATCTAAGTTATGAATAATTTAATATTTGTATATTTAAGATAGTAAATTTTGTCAAGATAAGTTACAATTTTAGGTAAATATAAGTTAAATTATCCAAAACCTTTATAGAAATATTTATCAAAAGCAAATTCTTATTTTCATTCATGTTTGATGTGTAAAAATTACAACTAAATCTTTTAAAGTGCATTTTTGTTAAAAAAAAATTAGAAGTAAATTTATAACAGCATTTTCATATCAAACATGCCAACAATAGTAATCGATCAGGGTTTTGTAAAAGAAAAATCTAAATTATAAAAAAAAGGTTTTGAAGATAAATTATTTCACTTTTTAAATCTAGGCATGTTATATATTTTCATAAAATCAAAATTATATATTTTCCTTTGGCTGTAAACTGTTGCTAAAGTAAGTCACTTATTAATTTGAGATAATTAATTGTTTTCATGTTTATTTGTATGAAGTGGTTTATAATTTTGCCCTCTAAAGGACCATTGAAAGCAGTTAATTTTTAAGGTTAGTGACTCATGTATGTGATATTTTATCCTGCTTTATAATTTTTATTGATAGAGTCACCTGGTATATATATACATATGAATTATATTTTATTTTAAATTTGAAGAACATTTGAAAAATTGGATTTAACATACAAATATGAAGCTATGGGTAGACCTTTATCTTATATTTATATATATATTTTTTTTTTATATATATTGCAAACCGTGGTGTTTGTCTGTCTCCCATTTGAAAAGCTGCGCACACAAGTAGAGCTCAACATTCACTTTTGAAATGATGGGAGAACAGGCATGAATAATGATGATGCCAAATTTTATTTCACAAGCAGGATATTATACACTAGATTGTTAGGAATTAATCACACTATCATTCACATTTCAAAATGTGATGCAACTTAAAGCATAAAAATATAGATTTACTGTATGTTATTGTTGGACAGCTCTTAGCATGACTGAAATGTTCAACAATTACTTTTTGCGCTGGGCGGTATAAGTAGCTCAGAACTTTGGTTGTAAGTGAAACCAAGAGTGCAACACAATTACCCTTTTTAAAGTCTATGAAATAATTTAAATTAGTAGATTAACTTAAACTTTTCTCATCAGTAGGGTAGTACACTTATTTGTAGTATATATATATATATATATATATATATATATATATAGCTTTTTTCATGCATATTGAAACATAATTCATTAAGATGAAAAGCAAACTAATTATATATATATATGTATGTTTCACTAAATACATACATTTCTAGATGAGAACATTAATGTATTAATGTATTATTCAACCTTAGAATTCTTGGGTAGCATTCAACTTCCATCAGCTTTTTAAATGCAATTTTCTATTGCTTTATGTACCCTGACTTTTGATTACAGGATGCTAATTAATATGAATCACACAACAAAATGTAAACAAAAGTAATTTCAATATTGCAATTAACCCCATTAATTACTGCTGGAGTCTGCTATGCATTTTACATGTCAAATGAGTGATTTCACCCAATTATTTTGGTCAGCTAATTGTACAGAGTGTTATAATAGACAAAAACATATAATTACTCAATACACTGCAATATGTTGAACCAACTAGTAGTGAATGGTATATATATAAAAAAATCAGTTATAAAAGAAAACAAACACACAAACACCTAAAAATAAAACAGCAAATCAAGGAAATCAAGTGGGTAAAGTTGATTTTTTTGCATTTCATTACAGCATTCGTATTTTCCCCCACCATCAAGACACTGGAGCCTTTTTTGTAGCTGTTCTTCAGAAGAAAGTAGAAAGATTACCATGGGAACCAAAGATAGTAGAAAAAGACCATTCTGAAATGTGTTCAGAAGGTAATTATGTTCAGTTCTAATTTGTAAAGTTGTTGGGCATTTTGGATTTTAATAATTTTTTAGTAGATTTTTACATGTCTGTTAACTATTCTGTTTTTGTCGAAATCATTTCTATGCTTCACTTCTATTCTAAATTTCAGTTTTAGTCATTCATTTCCCATGTTTTTGCAAACATTGTCTGTTAGATCTGTATTTAACACCTGCCACACAAGTCAGCCCAGTATATTAATGAAAATATAACATGATGAAATCTATATGGAGTGTAGTATAGTGGTACCCTACTGGGCATTTTACCATCCTTCTTGTGTTATTGCAGAAATGGCATTTTTAATATGAGAATCATCTTGTAATGTATTATGGATCTGCTTCAACTTCAACATTTCATCTTTTGGCTTTACTGTGTTGTTTGTTTCAGAAAACTACTGATTTCCCATATATGATTCCAATCTTCAATCCCCACTTTTGAGGATAATGATACTTTTGTGCCTCTCTTTTTTTTTGCTGTTAGTGCAGTAATCAGTTGATGAATCTCTGATTCAGCTGGTATATCAAATTGATTGGGATATCTTTGAATAAGTTCTTCCCTCATCCAACCTATACCCATGGTTTAAATTAAATCAACACACTCACAATCACATCTAGAACATTTCAAACATGTTTCATTGGTACATTGTTTTACTTTACATTTGCAAGTTAACTTCTCTATGATGGCTATCATAGTTTCTGGCCTGTTCACTGGTCCAGTGACCTATACCTTGAAAATAGTGCCAAGTACATCATTTTTTTGTCGAATCCAATCAACCTAAGCCTTTCCAGAATAACTTTTTTTTTTGATCCACATCAAGATGCCGGGCTGGCTCACATGGCTGGTGTTAAGTTTAAAACATCGAAGTTCTGTGTTTCTGTACATTGTCTAAATTTAATGCAAAATGTGATGAATTAAAATAATTGTTTTAGGCATTTTCTCTACAATTGTAAATACTTGTAAACACATGATGTAATTGTGAGTTTATTCAACACAATGGGTGTTCTGTAGCTATTGTGATTAATAACAAATCACATTTTATAAATATATATATATTTTGCTTCTGAAATGCATGAAGTGCACCAATTTAAAAAAAAATTCCATTGGATTTCTAGCAGATCTTTTCTTCTTACTGAAATTCTAATAAGTATGTTGATTAAGATTGTTGTAATTACATAGTTTGTAGGTGTGTTTATATATAAAATGCATTATTAAAAGTTTTAGAGTAGCATTTTTAACATCATATCTGAGTCAATAAGACTGGGTTTGGTAGATTGGGTGGGCTGTAGAGGTTAGTACAGTTTCTGGTATTCAAGTTAGAACCAAAAACATATACTCTATAAATGACTTGATCTGTTAACCTAAAAAAACAACACTTTACTGCCAAAAGAATTTGCCTCTCGTTAATGTTCAGGCACAAAAGTATGGAGCTTTAGGGGGTTGGCCGGTTTGTGTTCCTCTTACACAAAATAATAGAAGTGTTCATGTTCAAGCAGGAACCACTCTTAGCCACCTTACAGTGGCAGTTAAGTTTTGTTGAACTTCCTCGGCCATCTTTATCGACAAAACTCTTGAAAAACATGGAAAGAAGGGCTTTATAGAACTGAAGAACCAGATCTTGCATTGTTCAACAGCCACTACCATGTTTTGTGTGGGATTTTGTATGGGGGTATTGGTTTTTACTCCCTCATGACCTGGAAACTAGTGTGAATTTACCCATGCTGGTGGACAATTCAGATTCCAGACATTGTAAGGAGTTCAAATATCCATTCAGAATTTGGTGACTTGATTCTCAAGCATGTCTCCTTGACTCGCAGTATGGTTTGTTTTTTTATTTCATTTTGCAGTTTTTTTAATTAGAAATGTTTTATTTGAGAATATTTTTAAAGGTAATAACTTGCTGATTTCAGTTTCTTTAGCATTATCATTTTCTTTGAATCATCCTCAAATTTTGTTACTGGTGTCCCACAGTTGGTCAACTGTAAGTTTTTGATTTTACAATGCTAAAATCTGGGGTTCAGTTCCCTGTGGTAGACAGAGTGCAGATAGAAAATAACTTACAACAACAATTTCATTACTGGGATATCATTTTTTGTTTGTTTGTTCTGTATGCAGTACTTTTAAGTTCATTTGAAATCGTATATATATATCAATATCTTTGAGCATTTTTCTTTACAGAAGTTTAGTATTGTTCGAAACTGTTAAAATGCTTATTATTTGGGGATAAAAGTACCTTTTATAATCCTATTCATGTTGTGGGTTTGTTTGTTTTCAAATTCCTCAACTAGTTTACAAACTAGCAGGACCAAACTTATCAGGCAGAATCATGGTAGTCCTGTCTATATGGCAAGCCTGTTACCAAGCTAGGGGGCTAAAACATACATGGAAGATCACCAAGCATGATTGTTGTTTAGGGGTAGGTTTTCAGGGTCACTGAACTTAAATATGGAATTGAATTTTCTGTTCCCGTTCCCCTCTGGATCCCAGTAACAACATGATTGCAACTGTGTTTATACCCCCACTTACAAGGAAGTGGGATCAAACATGCACATGTGCTCAGGTGCCATGGACAAGTGTCCTAATAGGGCTTTTTATTGGATATGGACTCCTTAGATGTAGCTATAAAAGTAATTGGGAATATTAAATGGAGTAGCTTAATCAGTACATTTGAACCTTTGTAAACCATGAGGGGGACCTTTGAAACCCACAGTGGAGTGGGGGTATTTATGTTAGCAGGTTATAAAGGTAGCCTTCAGCTGACAAACGAGATCTCTATTAATGAAAAGAATAGGGTGTACTTTCAATATTTCTAATAGTAGCAAAGTTTATAAAAATTATGAACATTTATTTTTATGTGATAATATGAGATTATCTTCTGCATATAACAAACTGGTTGTCTGTATACTATGTACCACTGAGAGTAAATTGTGAATAAGCTGTTAAACAACACAAGGAAGCAGAGTAAGGTGCAACATAAACATCACTTTATCATACATTTAATAGTTGTGGCGAGCAACTGACTGAGTGAGTGTTGGACAATGATCAAGGAGGATTATTTCAGCATTCTCACCACAGCAAAATACAGAAAAAGAGTTTAGAATAAAATCAATGATATATATTATTATTATCAAAATATTTCATTCACAGTTTAATAATCAGATAATAGCAAAGTAGCTCTTACACATATTGTAAGATTTTGTTTTTAAAAAAATGGTTGTTTTGATGGCATTACCCATCACATTAGAAAAAAACAGTGGTTAGTTTAAAAATCTCATATTTTTATAGCTCTTGAAATAGTGCTCTTGTGTTTGTACCTTTTGTTCTTCTTTTAGGTAATGATGCTGATACAAGTGAACCAAAAATGTATGTTGGTTATTTTACTTGTATACATTTTTTCAATGATTAATATTTTTAAATTAGATTTAAATTAATTTCATGTAAAATAATCAATTAATCAGAATTGCACAGGCCTGCAAATTTAAACTTTATAAACGTCGTTTTGTGATCATACATGTGTTTGTAGATATGTATTCTAAAAATAATATAAAAATTTAGACAGCTTCCTAAGTGAATTAGTTATTCTATCCTGTTATAATGTAAAAATACATAAGAAGTAAATTTTTTCTGATTTGTCACGTTTCACATTTGTTGAGTGCTTATTAGAGGTGTGCTGTTTACATTCAAATTCATCATCATATTATTCTTTCAGTAATCTACATACTGGATTAAGATATCTAGGCACACACATCAAATTTTGTTAAAACTGTTTCTTTTGTTTTTTTTTAGTTAACAAGTTTTTTATGAAATATTTTGCTTTACACTTGTGAAGTAATTGACAAATATTCATGTTTACTAAGGATGCCACCTCGTAAGAAAAAAAGAGTGTGGGGTTACAAAGAAGATCCCTTTCTATTCTTTAGAGGTGATGAGAATGCTTGGAATGAAGTGAAGTGAGTAAAGAAAAACAATATTTTAAAAGTTTGTATAAAACGTTAATGATATTGACACATGATAAAAACTGCAGAGGTAAAACCCTTATACTAAAGTAAATGCCTCCTTAGTGGCTTGGCAGTAAGGTTGAGTGTTTATAATGCTAAAATTCAGAGATTGATTTCCACATTGGGCACACAACAGATAACCTATTGGGCTACTTTGCTTTTCAACCAACCAAACAAACTGAAGTAAATTTGTTAATTGTAACTTTTTCAGTGAACAACCAGTTATAACAGGTTATTCAATGCATTTGCATTCCATGTGAAACCAGTGATTTCTCAGACTTGTTGCAAGGTCATAAAAAGAGACATCCACATAACAGAAAAAAAAAACTTTTACTTTATGTATGATAATGATAGGTGTTCTACCCCTCAGTCTACCTGCCTTTGTGTGTTTAAAGACAGGAGAGTTACTCTTTTTACTTTTGGTTATTTTAATTTCTGTGCTTTGCATATCATTAAGTGAACATAAGGAACATTGTGCCATGGAAATGAGCCAGGGTAACACTGGAGTGATAAATAGCTTGTGTTAATAATATGCATATAAATGTGTGTGGTATATGGTGTGTATAGGTATATTGTAGAATTTGTTAATTTATACATATTGCATATATGTTAGGCACTAGATGTATATGATTTATAAAAGCTATGTGTATTATGCGTAACAGATGGATATGATGAACACAGGTTATGTAAATTATATGTGCTAGATATATCACCACAATACTTGAGAAACATGTACAATAACTGAAACCTGAATAGTAGATGTTCCTTGATTGCAGTGAACATATTAAAAACATCAGCATTTAGGCTTAATTATTTTGATGGATTTTTTATCCTTTAACGTGTTAATGTGCATCTTGGGTAAAGTATAGCAATGCTTTTTCATGGATGGAAAGGAAGCAAGATGAGAAATAAAAGTAATTATAATAGGAAGAGCAAAATGGGCAAAAACAATTATCAAAAATTGCTAAAAGATTATCATGCGCAATGTAAGAGAAATCTGATAACTACAAATAATTATAAATAATCAAAATAAAAAAGGTTAGAAATAGAACTAACTAAGAAATCATTGTTGCAATTTTTATTATTTTTTAAGACAATAGTAGTTGTGCAGCTTTTGTAGTGTAAAAATGCTTCTATTCTTTGTGATATAAGTAACTGTTGCTTAGGCCTGAACATAGTAGTGTGTTTTTTGTTCTTTAGTGAAGAACTAATGTAAATTTGACATGATAAAAATGTTTTTTTTCCCACAAAGTGAAATTCTGTGAATCATTTAAAAAGTACTTTTTACATCACATGTTTTTGGATTTTTCACTATTAGTAAATTTCATAATCTGTGTGCCCTGATTGTTTCATGGTTTATTTTATGTGTTTTTCTTAATACAGAATTTCTTCAAATTCAGAACCTAATTGTAGTTATTATTTGTTTAGTGTGGATGAAATGATAGCTTTGAAGCTATTGTGAACTATCTGTCAGTTTTAAAAATCAATATACAGTAGGCCATATTTTAAAGAGACAGTGACATCAAAAAAGATTTATTTGTGTGTAGTCGGGGTAAATTTTTATTATCTTGCTAATAGAAGAAAAGCTAGTTGGATTGCTATTTTTGAATACTGGTAATCATTATGAAAGCAGATTTGGCCATGGCAGCAGAGATCCTTGTTCCTAAATATATTCTCTGTCAGTTAAAAGTTTCTATGTAAATATACACTCACTTAATTTTATTGTTATATTTACATATTTGGTTTATATTTTAGTCAATGAAGTAACACAATATCATTTTCAGTTAGGCAAAATTTTTGATTCTTAATGTACTTATTCTTTTAGTAATAAAATTTCAAAGCATTCATTGTTTCTTCTTGTTTTTCATTTTCCATAGATGAATTTTTCACACATTTGTTATAAAGATACTGGGACAGGAATGCTTCCTAACATGTTTGTTTGCATGTGTCATGTTTGAATTAATTATGATACATTGGTACAAGCTTTAAGATGTGTAAAAATGTATTCATCCATGTGACAAAAAAAAAAATTTGCATAATGGTTAACATCTAACTTGTAACATAAACATAATAAGACGTAATCTACCCAAAATATGTTCATTTAACAGTAAAATGAAGTCGCATAAATACATTTCCAGGGTAGTATGATACTTGCTGAAAGTCTTTTCATATGAAATGTGTATTTATCAAATCGTGGATATGCATAAATATATTTATGTGTATATATATATATATCAAAAAATGTTTCCATTTTTAACATTTAAATGCATACAAGATACCTCAACACCAAATGAAATGTGCAAGGTTATGTGACAAATATATTTCTGTCTTTTTTTTTCTTCTATATCATAAAACTGTGTGAACAGCTAACAAAGTACTACCAGTAGTCCAAAAATTGTTTACATTTAACAAAAAAATATATTGTGAAATTATTTTTACATTAATTAAGTTCAAAGAAAGCCCAGATATTCTTTCTTTTGTGCCCATTAAAAAAAACTTCCCTTGATACAAGAACTCTCATGTACTGTGTAAGATACTTAGAGTGACTGTGTGCTAGCATTCTGGTCAAACCCTTGCTTCAGGAAGGAACATTTTATTCTGTAGCTTATTCGTGATTTCAGTTTTAATAACTTTAATTATTAAATATTTTAATCTAAATCAAAGTACTATGTTTATGGAAACAAAATGTTATTCAATCATTTTGGAGAAGCCCCCCAGTGGCACAGCGGTATGTCTGCAGACTTACAGTGCTAGAATCCAGGTTTCGATACCCATGGTGGGCAGAGCACAGGTAGCCCATTGTGTAGCTTTGTGCTTAATTACAAACAAACATTGTGGAAAATTAGATGGATGATCATGAATATTATTACTAAACCATCAAAAATGATGGTGTACTGGAAACTACATTTTAACTGACTGTAATTTTATCATGATCATTAATTATTACTTTTATGTTTGTTAGTTTAATAACTGAACATTTTTGTCCATCAAACAACATAGGTACTCATTACAGACAGTTATTTTGTTGAGTTCCATCATGTTATTATAAACGTATTGAGAAACTGGCATCTAATATAAGAAGTGTTGCATTAGTTACCCTCGCTCCATGGGGGAGCAAGGGTATTTCAATCGGGTCTGAATCTGGATCACTGTGAAGCACTTTTTATAATAGGAAGATAGAGCTTTTTTTTTTGCAGTTTTGGGTTAATAACTCTGTAAAGTGTGATTAAATTTGTTCCCAATTTCATGGGCACATTAAGGTTGAAACTCCTCATCACACTTCAGAAAATTATCCAGATTGCTGATCATTCTGGATCTGTGAAGGATTTTCTGAGTTTTGAAGGTGAAATTTGATGCTGTCCAGTATAAATGCATGCAATCTCTAAAAGGAACGGCGTCGGTGAGGGTGTGCAATCTCTCCGATTGCTCTTGTTCATTTAGAGAAACTACTCAGCATCATTAGTGGGGTGTTTAGAATCTTCTTAGTAAATTAATACAGAACAAAACTTACCTTGAGAATAAGAGAAACATCCCTTCCCAGGTTAATAAAGAGGATTTCATCAACCATTCTATATGAGAGGTTTAAAGAAGTAAGTTTGTTAAGATGAATATCATGATTTGAACAACTCGATAAGAATGAAAAATTATGCACTTGCATGTAATGTACAATTACAAGGTGCTTCAAATCCTAAATCTTTTAATATTTTGTACCATTGGTGTGTCTGTAATGTTATTTATGCTGTCAGTAAGTATTGATATACATATGTGTAATAGACATGATATATGTTATGAGGTTCTGTGTGTATATTACATTTTTCTTACTATTAATACTTGTTTGAATATAACTTGTCAAAAGAATTTCTAGATGGCTTTTGATTTTATCCATAAACTTGCACTTGTTATTCTGAGTTGATTGAGAAGATTAATGAAAGAATTGTTATATTCTCCATTTCTGTGTTTTTACCTGTGTTTTTCCTTTTTTTTCATTCTAGGGATTTCTACAACCTCAAACCAACATTTCCCTACGCACAGCTTCTCAGCAGATGCCAGTTAGGCAAGATGAGAAACATTTACTTTGTCTCAGAAGCTGCCAAACAGATAGTAGAAAACAACTCTGGTCATGTAAAGGTATCCACTTCATGAAACAACTTTTGATTTAATTCAATAATTCCTAGTTAACAGGTTATTACAATGAAATTCATTAAGATTTACATATATTATAAAGTTAAGTAAGTGATGATATATCTGTGGGCTTTATTTCAATGTACGTATATTTTCAAGTTTAACTCTAAAATCACCAATGAGGTTTTTATAGATTTCACCTTTTTTTGTTTTTTGGTCAGTTCTTTACACTCAGGGTATAATGAACAAAAGCATAGAATTACTCAATATGATGCAGGGTATTAATCCCTACCAGTAGTTAACAGTATAAATATAGGTAGGTAATTACAGGATTAAAACATTTCTTGAAAACAGATTTAATGTTAAATATGCATAATATGTAATTTTTAGTACTTATATCTCAGTGTTTTATTGAAGTCAAAATGAAATCATGCTATACTAGAGCATACAGACTTATTTTTGGGACCAAACTGAATTGTGAGTTAAACTCTGTGCTGTTGGATTTAACTGTAGTTGTGAATGCTAGACATTAGCTCTCTTAGTGCTTGATCATCAAAACTTGAAAAACAATAGAAAAAACCATCATGTGGAATGATGAATCCTGCTACACTTGGTTTGTTTCAGATAGATTGGTTTGTGTTTGAGGAAATATATGTATACATGATTGTCATCCCAACCAAGAAGAGATTCATGATACAGACCTGTCTTATTTGGATTTGGTCCATACTTTTAAGGAATCGTGGATGTCTTGTGGGATTAAAACATTATGGGCATTGTTGTATTGATGGAATTCTGTGGTGACCATACCTTTTTTAGCACAATGGTGTAAGATCTGTATCCTATTCCTTATGTCTGGCAGTTATTTGAAACAAATTACATTCAAATCTGCTTTGACCATTCCAGGCTCTGAACCTTATCTCATATGATCTACTCTAGAGCATTTATGAATACCATATGAGAGAAGAAAATGGAGAACTCTCTACACTTGAAGCTGTTACAAAGGGAGTGATGATATATTCTTCCAGGTGTGTGTGTACCAACATCCAAACGTTGGTGACAAGTGTCAGTAATAAAACATAAACCCACTTGCTATTCAAATTGGATCCCAGAAACCAAACATGACATCATGCTTTTCATGTATACTTTTGGTAGTACATTTAGTACTTATGCTGTCTTTGGACAGTTACTGTATGAAAAAATGTACAGAATAAAACTGTTCAATGACTTAGGAAACTAAAATGTTATCAATAATCATCTGATATGATTTTGGTAAATATGACAATAATCGTAATTGTACTAAAGCTTAATTTTTACTTTTTCTGGTGTAGTTTAATGGGAAATAAAATTATGTGCAATCATTTAGACTTTTATGAATATATAGAATAGTAAGTTTCAGTTCTGTATTCTCTAAAAAGCTAGTCTCAATCCCTTGCTTAAATGTTGATATTCACATCAACATTTTTTTTGTTTTCCGAAAACCTTAAATTGAATGATTAACATCCAGACATCAAAAACAGTTGTCAGAAACAATGAGTTTAAAATGTTGAAGTTTTTTTACTGACTTGAAGTACAAAAATTAAGGCAATTTTATCTCTATGCATACAAGAGGGTCAAATTGTGCCTATCACAACCTCTTTTTTTTGTATGTCAGTGAGTTGACCATAAAACAATTTATAAGGCAAATTTTTATATTATTTAAGTTTTAATTTCAAGAGGAAATTCTCAATCATTACACCATTGAATCATGTGACATATCTGTGCTGTGATTCACCAATTTTGAATTTTTTTCTACCTGTATATGATCTTCTGAGTGTTCCACTAATTGCACAATTATGCTATAGATATAGGATATATATTTCTAGCCTCCAAGCTTCTTGCGTTATTGATATATATATATATATAAAACAAGTCAAACCTACATGCCACACCCCTCCTATCTGATCTTTCAAAAAAAGGGCACAATTCTCTCTGAATTATTTGTAATCAGTAAGAAGAGTAGCTTGTTTTTACAAGATTCATTAGGAGGTTAGCTCATTATGGCCTCAGCTTCATTTTTTGTAATTGTGTTTTTCAGCTGCTCTAAACAGAAATTGTTTTTTAATATCTGTTCATTGCTTTGTTATAAAGCTTGTTAAATTATAGTTGTTTTAGGATATTCTATTATCTTGTATACGTTTTGTGTTCTAAAATGTATAGTTGAAAGCTCCAAGAATTTTTATTTGAAGAACTGACTTACTGAAAAAGGTGAGACTTAGCTCAGTTATGGATTGCACTCATAAATATTGTGGTCACATACTTCGCTTATGGTGTGTACAACCCATGGCTAATTACCTCCAGCTGTGCTGTTTTTACAGGAGGACTAGTGCTCAAGTAGGTAATACCTACAACAACAAAACTATAAATTTATAAGAAAATGATGTGAAAAGGTTAACTTTTGAAACTTTGGAGATAGGAACTACATAGAACAAGAGAAATTATGCATCCAAAGAAGAAGAAAAAAGTATTTTTTATTTTATTTCATACTTTCTAATTTTTTATTTCATTGTACATTGATCATGAATAATGATTTTGATACAGTTAGTGTTAGGTTAAACAAAAATAGCTGATAAAATATAGTTTTACCAAAAAACTTGTTATTTATTTAGGCCATTCTAGAAGTTATGCAAATAAAATATAAAAACTCTTAAGATGAATAAAAGTATTTGTATTCGTAACATGAAAATCACCTTGCATTCAGACTAGTCGGAGTTGGAATAAGGTTGACTGAATGAACACAATGACAAATCTTTAGTAAAAATACTTTATTAAAAATTCTGATTTTGTGTGTACAATAGACTTTTCATTATTACTGATAGATTGCCAAATTTCAGTATGATACACCTAGTAAATTCAGAATTATAGTAAACATTAATTCTCTGGTATGGCATTGATCCAATGGACCAGCCCATGTGTATAAGAGTAATGTAATTACCAAAATAAAAAGAATTAAAAACAACTAAACATGAGGTTTAAAAAAAATAACACAAAGAATCATTAATTTTCACCATGTTATCATGGCATTATCAGGTGATAAAAATAAACACAGCATTAAATATACCAAGTATTTAGTATGTTTTGTTTTTGATGTTTCATGTTTAAATTTTTTTAAATTCTGTGTCTGATTTCATGTGTGAGGTAGCTCCCCTATTTAATCACCAAATTTTAGAAACCTAAAGTCCAGTGTAGCATTTGATTAACCACTTGCCACTGAGTTTGATTTGTTTCAGAGTGTATCACCTTTCATTTGTGCCCCTGGTCAAGGGCAAATCAAAAACTTAAAACTAGCCCTGTGATAATAATGTTTGTCTGTAAATTATGTTACATATTCTTCATATATAAATGTAGATTCACTGTGATGAGTAGAAGACAACTCAAATGCTATATATGTAACTCATCAAACAATTTAATATGAAAAAAAACACTTAAAATTGTTCCATGTTTAAATTCACAATTTTTTTCATCCCAATTGTGGGATACAATTTTAAGGAGAATCAGCTCTCACCAGTCCAGTTAGGGTAATGGACCCAATGATATTTTCTCCATCCTGAAGTGTGGAAGTTTGATGTAAAATGCTGATTTTTTTCAATAAACCTTGAGCATTTTTTATTATGAAAGAGTTGGATGGGATGCGAAAAAATCAAACATACACCACGTTAACTTTTATGTATATGAAGGCATATAAATCATTCTGTTTCATTCACCTGTCTTGTATTGTTTTGGTGTTGTTAGTACACAAGTATTTCATATTGCAACTCATTGTAATGAGAAGATAATGTTAGTTAGTGAGACTTCGCCTCTTTTTTTTTCCTTATGTGAAATTTATTTCAACATTCTTTGGCAATGAGAAAACATAACATAATCGGTTGTGAAATTTCTCATTGGCATCACGTACACACTCAAAAACTATGAACAATTGGTTTCGGATCGTCAAAACTAGAATCGGTGACAACTCCAACATTTGTTTGTAACGTCTAATCAATCATGAAATTATTCATAGGTGGTAACATACATGACAGAAATATTATTTCAGTTTCAAATTTAATTAATATTTTCCCTCAGATTGTCAAAACTAGAATTGGTGACAACTCCAACATTTGTTTGTAACGTCTAATCAATCATGAAATTATTCATAGGTGGTAACATACATGACAGAAATATTATTTCAGTGTCAAATTTAATTAATATTTTCCCTCAGATTGTCAAAACTAGAGTCAGTGACAGCTCAAACATTTGTTTGTAACGTCTAATCGATCAGAAGATTACTCATAGGTGGTAACATACATGACCGAAATATTATGTCAGTGTCATAATTAATTAATATTTTCCCTCAGATTGTCAATACAGGAGTCAAAGTGTTTAGTAGAATTGACAACAAGGATACAAAATGTGGTTTTCGTCTTTGCCAAGAAGTAAGTATAAGTGTAAAGTGTGTGATTTTTTAAGTTGATATTGTTAAATTAACTGTATTAAAGACTGTATGTCACTTTGTAAGAAGAAATCATAGTCTGTTGATGTTAGAGTAATCCTTATATTTTTAATATGGATGTAAACAGTGTTAGTTAGATAAATACGAAATGTCTTTGATAAATGAACAGAAGTTTTTTGAGAAAAACTTTCTAGTTTATTTACTGGTCTTTATTTAATTCTATAACAATGGCAATAGAATAAAACCACAAGAAATCAATATTTCCTTGCATTTTTTAGTGTTAAAAATACAGTTTACACAAAGAAATGAGCATTATATAACTGATAATGAAGTGTATATATGTTTATTTATCCTTAGTTGCAACAAACAAACATGTAATTGACACTAGCACAGTGGCTTGAACTATACTGTTAAATCTGTAATGTACAAAAGCTTCCCAAGATTTTTTGAAGAACCCTGTGTAATTATGAACAAGTAATTAAATATTCATTCACATTCTTCTATCACTCAGTTCCTGTTGAGTGGCTGTGTAAACTGACTGTGTGCATACTACTACTAGTTTGATTTATGTTTGCACTTAATTCAAGTTACTATAATATTTACCTTTTGTAAAGTATTCTTAAGAGCTATGCTTATTATTTTTTAATAAAGTCTAATTGACCTAGCTTTAGATAACTTGAGTTTAAGGGAAAGCTCTAAACATTATTCTTTTTTTTTAGAGAAACACATACATAAGTTCTAAAAGTAAGAAATAATTATAGAATATTAGCAGTTAAGTTTATTTTCTGTGGTATACTTGATTTATCAAAGTATTTTTTATTGTTATTAGCTTCAGGTGACTGTAATTTCCTCTTAATCCAACTTAAAATGTCTCAAAACTAGGCTTCACATTAGTAAGGCATAACCAAAAAAAAGAAAAGCTACAAATAATTACAATATATTTAAAACTAACATATGAAATGCAAGTGCATAATATTATGCAAGTGCCATGTAATTAACTGATTTATTAAATGTATGAAAAGCTGATACTGTCAAATATTACATGAAAACAGGGGATTCCTACAATAATGCCATTTGTTCAGAGCCGATGTTTACGTGTGTGTCTGGAAGATTTAAAGGTGTTGCTGACTGAGGAGTATCCACTTTGTTTTCAGTTTTCAGAGGAAACGCAGAAAACAGTTCAAGACATTGGTAAGTAAGGATGTGCAAGAGATTTTTTTAACAGGTTTTTTTACTGCTGAGAGAATTTTTATCTATAAGCATTCTACAATAGTTGTAGCATGTATGTGTGTTGCTTTGAAAACCTAGGGATATTGGTTTCAGGATATGCCTGTATTTAGAGCATCAAACACATACTGCAAATTATTTATTATTCACCTGGAATTAACTTTTGCTATTTTTGTGGTACATACTTTTCAGCAAATGATAGTTCCAGCGAAATAAAAAGCCTTTATGAGTGATAATTGAAACCCAAACAGATATTATTTATTCTTTAGCACATTCATGAAGCACAGCATCACTAGCAGCCTGAGTGGTGTGTACTTCAAGTTCTGTGTCACACTGTTGTGGATTTGGGAGGATTGGTTGATCTTATCCATTTCAACAAAGACATTTTGCGAGGTGTACATAATGAAGTTGTGACTATTTAAATTTAAAAGAAATTTTATACCTGTCAAGCCATTTGAGTAACTGTTCTAAATATGCTGTATGCACATAATAACTTAATCCAGAAACAGCAAACAATGAGGAGACATAAGCTGTTGTCAGTTAGATATCTGCAGTGCCTGCCGTAACAAGCCTAGACATGTTCATTGCTTTCAATAGGTGGATTACCAACATATCACTTGAGTTGCACAGCATGATTGCAAAGGCTTATAGTATGAAAAATATTGCTTAGAAAAACAGAATGATGTCTTAAAATTTTTTTCTAAATTTATGAAATAGAAAATTGATGCATTTTCATTTCTCTGTGAAAGTTAAAACCCGCAAAACAAGTTTCAGCATAAAACTGTTAAAGATAATTCCTGAGAATATTAAGTAAACTACGGTATAAAGATTATTATTTGAGAAATTTTTCAGTCACAATAAACTAATATTTAGTTGTATGTCTGCATCATATCACGATAGTTTAGACTGTAGTAAAAAACATTTCCCTAAAAAAAAAAGTTTGTTTCATGAGGAAAGTTTTAGAAACAGTATGACACCATACTTGTTTTGATATTCATCTGCTTCAGGAACAGGATTGAACGAAATTATTATTATTATTTAATATTATGGATATTTATCTTGTCTGTGCCTTATGATCAGAAATCTACATAAGCACTGAATGCCAACATCTCTCAGATAATTTTTTATTTCATTTACAGTGATTTCCCAACTTGTCATTTTTGCACTGTACCTAAAATTGGAACATCATTAACACCATGTGAGAATTTTACTTGCATATAACTTGTTTTATGTCATTATTAATCCTGATGCTTTAATTTGAGCTGTAACAAACACATCACTGAGAAATCTTTTTTTTTCTCTCCGTTGTACAATATCAAGGAAGTAACTTGAAAATTTCAACCTTTAGTTTCTTTACTAATAAGATACCTTTGTGGATTATCTTTATTCAAAAGTTTCTTTCTAATAGTTATATTAACCATCTTTGGCTCAATTAATGTTTGTGGGAAGATTAAAAAGCAACCTTCTTGATAGTCAAAGTGATTCTATTACATTCTGAGTCAATACTAGGACACTGATGACTCATTTTATCGACTGCTTGTCATTCTTTTCGGTGGTTGTATGTAAATTTCCACACATGTTGAAATAACATGCTTGTTCAAATGCAGCTTGTGTCATTATATCTATAAACTTCACTATATATGTATCTCCACTCCTTTCTTCAGGACAACAATATGCATAATTTATCATTATGTTGTTTTAGGTTAGTATATTATAGTGTGAGCCTAAATGTGGAAGCAAATTAAAACAATACAAGACAAAGAAACAACATATTTTGAATAAAAAAGCATGTAAAATGTGCCAATGTCATTAGTTGGTTGGCAGTATATCCTTTTATTCAATAGGCACTGAAATTATATAAATTACTAATTAAAGAAAAAAGAATCTTAATATTTACATATGTTATAGCTATATTATATCTAAGTAATTATAATCATTAAACGAAAATGTAGTTTCGTACAGTTCTAAGAATTTAAAACAAAGAAGTTAATCTTATGCCATCAAAATAGTTTAAAAAATGTCCCTTTTTGTGTAGTAATAATAATAATATGTAAATAATAGAACCAGTTTTATATATATATATATAAATGAATATATTGTAACACTTCAAGAGTATGTAGTAAGTTAGGTTTAATTTTTACTTGTTTTTAGACCTTGAAGGTATTCATTATCAACTCATTATTTTATGTAATTTCGCTTGCATTCAATTATTGTTCATTTCCATTTCACCCACAGTTTATTCATTTAATCCCCAATATGTTAGTGCATTTGTTTAAGAACAGCATGTTGGTAATTTTTCTCTCTTGTCAAAATGTAAGTGTATGATTATGAAGCCTTTATTAGATTTTAGTTAGCATCTGCTATAAATACTGATAAAGTAGAACTTACAAATTTACTTTAAAATTAAAAGATGCATTAAACACTGAAATATTTTTGTTTTTTTTGAAAGATGTTGGATGTGTGGCTCTCATCCATACTGCAAATAAAGGGTAAGTCTGCATATTTGTTTTTCATAAACAACATCTTTTATACATGTTAACTACAACAATAACTATTTTTTTATAAAAAGGATATTACTTAAGTAGTTAAACTTTTGTTCTTTTTATGATTCAGTATTCTTCATTGTGTACTAAATAAGCAGCAAGTTTATCCTGAAATAGAATGTTTTGTGAAAAATAGAAATTAAGAATTTTTTTAGTTTGCATATTCTCATTCTAACGTAATCCTTAGAAGTTCTTCTACCATTAAAAGTTGCTTGGTATTACAGAGGAGCCACCTCGTTATTATCAGCTTTATCATCATTTTCTCTTAGGACAGAGGAAGAGTTCTCTATTGAGCTGTGTGGGTGGAGAGGAAAGACTTCATTACGTTGCTATGTTTCTAGAAATGAAAGGATCCATTATTTAAGAATATGTGGAATTGATATATCAAGCTATGGTATGTGTATTTTGCATAGCAAATGGGTGATTTCACCCAATTTTTATTGTCAGTATATTACCTCAAATGTTGTAACAGGCAAAAACAAAATTATTCAGTTTGATGCAATATGTGAACTCCACCTATTGTTAATAGTTCCATTGGTAAAAAACTTGATCCTACTCATTAGAGATAGAAAAATAATAGATCAATGATTCTCAACAAGTAGTACGTGAAGATGTTGAGGAGATCCGCAGACTAAAAAAAACTTTACATTTAATCATATTAAATTTTTGTTCTTCTTAAGAATGATAAAAAATATTTATTTATCATCTTAACAGTGAATGGTAATATTCTGATCAGCCTTGTGAAAGTTTGGTTTAATTAAATGATACACTGTGTTTGATTATTTCATTTTTTTCTTTAATCTGAAAATCACTGGAAAGAGGTTTTTAGATTACATTGAAAAACCTGTTGACAGAACCACATTTAGTAGGATGATGGACTGCAAGCAATCTGTGTTAATCAAAGATTGATGTTAAAAATATAAATCAACTTTCTGTTGCAATAAAATTGATCATTGCATATTTACACTGCATCAACTTCTTCCATTTCTTAAGTTTAAAGAGGTTTATTTCAAACATTCTTTGCAGCATGTTCTATCTGCATAAAAATCAAGTATTGGTTTTTTTTAAATTTATATAGAAAATTGATACTGGTGTTGTTTTCTAATTCTTCTTCTATTACACCTCATTAATTTCTCATTACTCCACTTTTACAGCTTAAGTTTCTTGTAACAGGTTGTTGTTTGCTATTAGCTTTAAGTGTGTGTCTTGTATCAATACAATGTTTACAGCATTTGAGTCATCCAGTGCAACTTCAGCTTAAGTTTCTTGTAACAGGTTGTTGTTTTACAGCATTTGAGTCATCCAGTGCAACTTCAGCATAAGTTTCTTGTAACAGGTTGTTGTTTGCTATTAGCTTTAAGTGTGTGTGTCTTATTTCAATACAATGTTTCTTTTCAATGTAAGTGAAAAATATATAATTTTATAAAGTTATTTAAAACACTGAAAATTTAAAAATATCTTATTGTTTAGTTTTCATGTGGAGGGCAGTAGCTCTATAGCAACATTTTATAACTGTTACATGGATGACAAATGTACTGTGCTATTGACATTACTATATGGGGTTTTTTGTTTCATGTTGAAGTTAAGTCTGTCTTTTTCACTTGTGTGTGTTTATATATTGCTGTTGAAGTTTGTCTAGTACTAAAAGGTAGAGGTATCTGAACAAACTTTAATACAGTTTAAATCCTTTGAAGATATTTATTTTTTGTGATTTTCTTATTAGTATTAGTATACTTTCACCAACCCTTAAAGAAATTTTAGTTGATGAGAACTGACTGTAAATGAATCTAAATTATCTACCCATAGAAAAGAGAGAAAAGAAATTCAAAGCGAAACCTACAGATAAAACTGACAACAGTAGTAATGAAAGAGCATCTACTGATGGTCTGGATGTGGTATGTGGGTCTGAGAAAGAAGATCTCCATACAAAACCTACAGAAGTAGATCTTGAAAAGGAGTCAGATGATGAACAACTTGATGATGAGGAGTGTATGGCATGAATCAAATCATAAAACTGACAAGTGATAATAAACTGTTATGTTATCATGTGTGTATATAAATATATATATTTGATTTCTTACTTTTTCCAATTCTGAAATTAAAATGTGGGACATTTTTGTGGATGCTTCTTTTCCATGTGGAAAAAAATTGTTCAGTTTAATACTTTATTTTTTAACTTTTTTAAATCATAATTTCATGAAAAACAATTTAGCAATGTAACATGCACTTAAACCAACAAAAGATAATTACGTTAAGATATAATATGCGAATTCATACAAAACAGTTGTGTTTTATAAATTGGAGCTAATTTCGTATTTCATAATGCTCACCAGAAGACAGTGTTGATAAACTAAAACAATACATATATGTATCTTAGATTAGAGGGGAAAGCTTAAAAAGTTTGCATAACGTGGAGCTCGGGGTTGGGCAGTAAATCTACATCTAATTTATAACAATAGGGATTAAGCCTAAGTTTGCAAATTTTCTAATTGTTATGTATATGTACATATGTAACTGTATATATAAAACAATGAATAACTTAGGCTTAATCCCTATTGTTATAAATTAGATGTAGATTTACTACCCAATTAAGCCTAAGTTATTCGTTGTTGTACATATACAGACCAATGTCCAAAATTTGCAAATTTTCTAATTGGTCTTTCCCAAAATTTCTAACTGGTCCATTCCAAGAAAATGTATATATGTTAATTCCATTTTATCAATTGCAGATGTATTTTTTTTAATTGAAAGCAAGAACTTTTGATTATATCGCTCTTGGAATGTACATAATCTTTATATTGATCCAGATAAACACAAGACTAATGTGATGTAAGATTACTATTTTAATACTGACTAAAAGGTAAGGTATTTCTACATTGAGATATTAATATTCATCACACTTTTTTTTTTCTTTTATCAATCTCAACATTCACATGTTCCAAGAACCCTCCTTTCATTTTAGACATCATAGGGATTTCTCATCATGTTAGAAATATAGGCCAGGGATCCCCAGAAAGCTAGAGGCTCCATATTGGATATTGAAGTAAAGTAGATGCTTTCAAGAGACAAAAATACAACTATGGTTTTAGGGAAAAAATTATAGAAATAGACATTTTATGACAAGGTAAAATAGAAAAAAAATGCCTAAAATTCTAATTGGGCCAATGGATTTGTTTTTGTTATTCTAGTTGGCTAGAATATTTATAATTGATGGGGTAGTCTTAATTTAGTTTTCAAAACAATTGTTTTAAATGTTCAGTGTCATTTAGGCCCAGCATGGCCAGATGGTTAGGGCACTCGACTCGCAATCTGTGGGTTGTGGGTTTGAATCCCCATCACACCAAACATGCTTGCCCTTTCAGCCGTGGGGCATTATAATGTAACGGTCAATCCCACGATTTGTTGGTAAAAGAGTAGCCCAAGAGTTGGTGGTGGATGGTGATGACTAGCTGCCTTCCCTCCAGGCTTACACTGTTAAATTAGGGACAGCTAGAGCAGATAACCCTTATGTAGCTTTGCACGAAATTCATAACAACAAAGAGTATCACTTGCTTTTTTCACTCCCAAAATACATTTATGAAATTTAGCATCAAACATTGTATAAAATTCCTGCCTATTATAATCTGTAGAAAAATGAGAAGGAAATCTTATTATTGTATTGTATACTAAAGCAGAAGCATGCTGCTTTACTAGCACTTGTAATCCACATGAATGAAAAAGGAAATATCATGATCAGATTGTATGATAGGGCAGAAGCATGCTGGTTTACTGGTCTTTGTAATCTACATGTAGTAAAATAAGAAGGAAGTCTCATGATCATATTTTATATACTGAATCAGAAGTTTGCTCTTTTATTGACCTTTAAAGTTTTTAGTATTTAATCTATGAAATATCGTGCTAATACAAATTTGCTAGTACAAAGCATTTTTCAGTATGTGTTACATTTTCATACAGTTCAAAGTTAATAACATTCTTTTGTTTATTATTTTTTGCAATGGTTTACTAGGTAGCTGGTATAATGAACATATGCCAAGCCCTGAAGTAACATTCAATAGTTATCCAAAAACAACAATAAAAGTTTAGTGTAACATTATGTCATAATTTTTCATTGACTACATGGACCTACAACATTGAATTGTCTTAGTAACATATAACTATGCATATAACAGACAAATCCCTTCAGGGTCAGTAAGATATTCTTAAGACTTCTTTGTAAGAAGAAACTTTTATGGTAAATTACATTTAAATGCTGTTAATATAATATTATATTTAAGATTCTTTCTAGTCCTCTGGAACAGTAGAAACAGGCTTGTTGGTTACCAGCTTAGAATTAACCTTGTTATTAATATAATGCTGAAGCAATGAAGTTGACACTGATGTCCTGCATGTGATCTTTAGATAGTTGTAATTAAATAGCAACAACAGGAACACATACATAAAATAAATAGCTGGTTGACTGGGAGTTGCAGCTCTAAATGTATGAAAAATCCATTTTCCAGATCTTTGACTTGTGTATAGGGTGATCTCCAAGGGATGGCTACATTGCTATTTGGCAGCTGTATTAATAAAAAGTTATGATTTTAACTGTCGTTCAAGACAACTAAATACATTTATGCATATAATCAAAGGTTTGGTTCAAAATATACAGGTAGTGGAAAAAAAATGGAAACAACTGGGTAGATGAGGGACAAGAAGTATATGCAATGCAGAGGCTACCAAACAGGTGTGGCTTGTCCATTAATTAAGCAACTTGCATCCCAGCATGGGTAGGGTCAAATATAAAAATGCTGGACAGGCCTGGTTGCCCATAAGCATGACTGCAAGAGGAGACCTCAGTGACTTTGAAAGAGGGGTTATTGTTGGGGCACATTCGGAGGGAGCTTCAGTGACCAAGACAGCTCAACTTGCTGATGTCAGCATGGAACTCTGAGGGAAAGAACAGTGCCGGATTTAGCCATAAGCTAAACAAGCTACAGCTTAGGGCCTCACAACTATTTTTTTTTTTTTTTGCTTTTAAAATGCATTCATTTGAAAATAATTTTTATTTTTCACTTTAAATACCTTGCTATTAAATAATTAAAAGGTATATATATGTTTTTAATTTATTTGTGGCGACCGAAGTTTCTGTTTTAGTATGCACCTTTGTGAGACCTTCTGGTGTAACTTTTTAACAAGGGGCCTCCAAGCTTTATTCAGCTTAGGGCCTCACCAAGTCTAAATCCGGCACTAATTATGAATACTTTGCCTAAACAATCTATCAAAGAAAACTGACTTTGATTTTTACCTAAAGTACATTGATAGTGAGCTTATATCAAACTGAGTGTATTTTTGCTACACATAATACAGATGAAAAATCGGTTTTTATATTCATTATTTTGTTATTCATAATAGTAAGAAGGAATTGTATATTATTTTTTGTAAGTAAAATAACTAGCTTTAATAATTATAAGTGCCTCTATAGGCAGCTTAAAGTTAATTTAGAACTCTGCCATCATAGGAAGTCGGCTATTCTACACAGTTTAATGGGTTGACCATCACAGCCCCATAAGTTTTATTCATAATTCTGATTTTTTTATAGAACTTTTATTTTGCCTATAAGAAAGATTCTAGTTACTACTTTTCAAGCTCTATTTTGTCTTGTCAGATTTTAATAGGAGAATGTGAAACAAAAACTTGCTTTAAAGTGTAAATACAAAAAGACATCGAATATTTTGCATAAAACATAACCGTGTTGGAATGTAGTCGCGTTTCTTAGGGTGTTTTTTAAGCGTTGGTAAGTATTGGATTTCTTGTAGTTAGTTGAGATCTAACTATACTATCATGGATTTTACAGTGGCAGCAAATGTATTTTTGACTCGAGTGTAAATTCTACGCATAACTACAAATTCGTCTTTGTAGCTCGTCTGTTCTGAAAGGGGTTATTTTGCACGCACTTGTGTGTTTGTGTATAGTCAAATATATACAATTTACTGTGTTTTTCAAAGTATATGCTTTTAACAACAACAATACATATGGTATTCTATAAAACATTCTGTGTCTGAAAATAAATTCAACACTACTTTCAATGGAAAGCAATTGGTCACTATATGTTTTGGCCGGAATTATTGAATACTTTATGAGTAGGCTTAAATAAACTAAGATTTACAATACGTTTAAGCTTCAATCTTTAAACACATAGTAACTTACACGAAGATGAAGATGATTCATATTCTTTGTTGACCTTTTCTGTCTCTCTATTTCCAGCAACAGCCTTTTCATCCGTAGTTTCTTTATCTTTTCCAGCGTTCGCCTGATAAGTCCACAAATAATGATAGTTAATTAATGTTTTGTTACAATAAGAACGTAGAAACCCTAAAACTCGCTCATGTACATATAAAAGAATCTCGGAAATAAAAATCTTTGGTAGCTATATGTATCCATGAAGTAAAAAATCTACACTAATACTGTGCAAAGCTTTTCAGCCGTGGCTCATAGAACGGCTCTGAGTTTGTTTGTTTTTCAAATACAAGCGTTTAGCTCATAACTATCTCTTGACCGATTTGATATCTAATTATTATTGTTTTTTGTTGTTTTTCTCAGAATGACGCAAAATTCCAGCATATTTAATATACATTCAAAGAACAAACAGAACAGTTGTAATGTTTCAAGAACATCTTTTAGACTGAATACAGAAAAAGCGACTGGTTACTCTTTAATCAAAAGCTAGTTGTTACATTACGACGAATTAAAAGTACAGAAGAGGAATCACTGCTAGTGAATAATAACTCCCCATTTAATGTATTTACATCAACACGAATCGGTGTAATGATAAACTACGTCATTAACTGTAAACGTAAATAAAGACTGGTTTCTACGGAGTTCCCACCGTCACAATTTTTCAAATTCAAATCTCAGTGCCACTTTCACGCTAATAAACATGACTCATATTTTAGTATTTATGAAAAAAAAATATTTGCTCATTAAAACTATTATACTCCGGTCTAACTCTATATTTATATAGTAAATAATGGGCTAAAAATTAAGTTCCGATACCTATGGTGAACAGAGGGATCCTGTGTATTGCAGATCTGACGAAAAATTTACAGGTAGCATTTTGAATAAACTTAACGTGACAAAACATATGTAACTAGGATATAAACCAATAGAAATAGCCGTTCATTGTTGATATCAAGATTTGTAACTAGGGTATAAACCAATAGAAATAGCCGTTCATTGTTGATATCAAGATTTGTAACTAGGGTATAAACCAATAGAAATAGCCGTTCATTGATGATATCAAGATTTGTAACTAGGGTATAAACCAATAGAAATAGACGTTCATTGTTGATATCAAGATTTGTAACTAGGGTATAAACCAATAGAAATAGCCGTTCATTGTTGATATCAAGATTTGTAACTAGGGTATAAACCAATAGAAATAGACGTTCATTGTTGATATCAAGATTTGTAACTAGGGTATAAACCAATAGAAATAGCCGTTCATTGTTGATATCAAGATTTGTAACTAGGGTATAAACCAATAGAAATAGCCGTTCATTGTTGATATCAAGATTTTCATCTAGGAAGGTTATAATTTTGATTGAAAGAATTTATTTCTATCAATATTTTAAATAAAACACAAGTCTTGCAAAACATTAACACGTCGACGTTGTATGCCGCACACTAAGCTAATTAATTATTGAATAACAGGCGAGTAGAATCAAATTACTGTTGGTAACAGTACAAGGTAGTCGCACGTGATAATTGTATTGCTATAACTTTTGCTATTTACTCAACATGGAGGTGCGGATGGGAAAGGGTTATGTGGTACTATGAGGTTAAACGGTCACGTCAGATACTGCTAGGGTTCAAATATAACATATAGCTGCCCCTAATTTTTAGATATTGACCAGAGAGACAATGGTCAGCAGCACCCGCCACCGTAACGGTGTTGTTCTGCTCCTAGAACCGAATGACGGGATCGACTTCAGAACATACTTGGGACTATGGTTCTGCAGAAAAAGACACTGAAACAAAGACGTTGAATCTTTATGGCACACAAAATAGTGTAGTTGTTTTATATTTTAAATAATATTTGATATAAAGTATAATATCAATTATAATGAATAACGTTATTATCAAAATATAACATAACGTGATTAGCCAAGATTATATTAAAATACCAATATTTAGTATATTAACATACATGTACGAGTTCTAAGATTTAAAAAGGCGCGGGGGGCAGGGGAGTTACCCAGTATTTCTAGGTTTATGGATAATTTTTCCTGACTTTTAAACATCATTTTCAAATTCAAAGTTTGTGGACATCCTCACAATTCTATTCATAACACATAGAATACAAAATAATCACGACTCACCTGCTGCTTTGATTTCGGTTCCATACTGGGGTCGAGAATTATTTTACCAATGTTCTTACGATCGTGTAGTTTCTGCATGGCTTCGGAAACCTTCAACGTAATACGTAAATTTGCATAAAAACCGTAACTTAAGGCCTAAACATTTTTGTACGTCAAAATTTCAATATAACAGTTACTTTCTTTAACACAATATGAATAATACCCGACGCTTTATTTTAACACCTCGTTACTTTAGGTATTTCAAAAATATATCGTACAAATATGGCGATTGGTCGTCTACTGAATTTTTCTATCATTATTCGAGGTTAACTTCAGGGTGTGATACCTAGTGTTCCAGAAATATATGATGAATAAACAACTTTTGCCCACAAATACTCCTTTTAATGGGGTGGGTGGATGGGACAGTAAATAAATAAAGAAAATATGTCAGAGGTTAAAGATAACCAGAAAAATGATGTGCTTTGATCCAAGTGGTGTCCGTTCAAGTCCAACACTTCCTGTAACCAATATTTTGAACTTAGAGAGAGAAAAATATGTTGCAAAATATCGGTTGTCACTCAGTTTAGAGGTCAAAGTGAGAACAGTTTATTACAGACAAGATAGTTTACAAATCGTCACTCAGGTTAGAGGTCATAAAGTGACAACAACTTATTAAAATCAAGAAAACTGACAATAGCATGACCTAAAGTTTAAAGTAGAATGAATGTAGTTACGACAGGGGTTTAGAAAGGATTTATGTTTGAATAGAAAAAAATTGAGGAAGAGTAATACTATCCTCTAGGTTGCCTTGCAAAGGTGTATTTTCCCCATAGCTCTCTATAACTTGTACAAAACTGACTTGTCACGAAATGTGTAGTTTACATTAGATTAAAATTAAGCTAATCAAGACAAATTTTCATTTCTCACCAAGAACTGGACCTCAACGAGAAAAATGTATTGATGTTGCACTGTAACATTCTCCTCCTATCAAGTACATCATACTGGCAGACCAAGCTTTTTGTTCACTATTTCTCTCTCTTTTTTTTTACCTAGCTAAGCCAACAACCTTCCTCCTGCACGTCAATCGGTTGGACCAAAACATTTCCCACTGCTCGACATTCAGCTCCGCCAAGCATTTTTTTTTTTATGTTGCTTGACATTTAGCTTGGCTAAACACTTCCCTTGTACTCATCACGTGTTTTACTATCTGAACACTCACGCTTGTATTTATTATATACTAAAAATATTGACCCACACACACATACACCCATTTAAAGTGTGTGATATTTTTTGATTGAAACTAATTTTAAGACTTTTTGTGCCTATTTAGATATAGACTGAAAATTAAGGATTGTATTGTTAAGCCTATCATTATATACTATATATGCATGTCTTACTCTCTAATACATTAATCTGTGTAGTGCAAATCAAGGAAAGATCAGATGACACTTACATCTTCAAATGCCCATGTTGAATCAATAACAGGTTTGATTTTCCCATTTGACCAGAGTTCAAACACTGTGTTTACCACCTGACGAACATACTTATCTTGACCCTGCTGGTACAGAAGGTGACGAAGATGGAACCCAGTAAGAGACTTATTTTCATCAAACAACCTCATGGGGCTGATTTTGTCCACCTGCCACCACTTTTAAGAAGAAAAAAAAACAGCTAATATGTTAGATATACACTGACCTCCGATATATAATGCTAATGTTTAACAGAACAAGTACATATGGCTCAGGTAATAGCTTTGTTATGGTCCTGATACCATTTTGTTTCATTACAACTGCTATTTATTGTTATACATTACAGTTTCACAAAATATATTTTTTTTTAATGTTTTTATCAGAATTTTATGATGTTATGGTGGTTATTCAGTTAGCATGGATATCTGAAACCATGTGTAAGACAAATCGTGTAACATGTAGGTGAAATATCTTCTGGACATACATAATGAATCACAGAAACTTTCTGGAAATAGAACTAGGTGTCACAAAAGCGACTAATGTCACATATAGCTGTTTAATTGTAGCATGTAACCTCTGTCCAAAAACTGCCCAAATCTCTTTTGGAATGCCTTTTTGTGCTTGAGGAATCTTTGCTGGATTTTAGCATAAAATCTGTATATTTAAAAGTCTGATAGGCTGAGGAACACCATTTCTATACATGATAGAAATAAAGGCTTAAAACCCGATCCTCAATAAAGGCTTGCAATAAGAATGTCTTTACCAGGTGGTGAATATAGGGTGAAAAACTATCTTGCTGTTGCATGAATATTACATTATTGCCACAATCATTCTGTTAAAACATAAGGTTAAAGCATCACATAATATTGTCAAGTCACTGTGTACGTTTGTCAAGCCTTTTGGTGCTCATTCCCCATAGAAGAATAGCTCCAGGATAAATCGATGGTGAGCGTGCCACACACTGTGACCTCTGGGGAATGCAAACTTTATTTTCAGGGACATGTAAATTACACTAGCTCAGATGACATAATTTTGAATATGAAGAGTGAATAGGTCAGCATCTGTCTATAGCAGGCACGTTTTCTTTTTAGTCAATAGGAGCAAGTGCCGTAAACTCCATTGCAAACATTTTTTTAATTCACAGTCATGCCCCTTTCAACTATTGAACATAAGATAGTGTAAAAGTACATATGAAGGTTTTACCCTGTGGGATGTCAGACCGATTTACCATGATCAATAGCGTAAAAAGCAACGCCTGGGATGTGGGATGCCAGACCGGTTTACGATGATCAATTTTTCCAGGCGTTGCTTTTTACGGTATTGATCATGGTAAATCGGTCTGACATCCCACATTCCAGGCGTTGCTTTTTACGGTATTGATCATGGTAAATCGGTCTGACATCCCACATCCCAGGCGTTGCTTTTTACGGTATTGATCATGGTAAACCGGTCTGACATCCCAAATCATAGATTGATCTTGCAGCACCTTCGCAACAATGTCACTGATATTTGCGAACACTCTGTCTTTCGGGCCCCCAGTGGCATAGCAGTATGTATGCGGACTTACAATGCTAGAATCCGGATTTCGATACCCGTGGTGGGCAGAGCACAGATAGCCCATTGTGTAGCTTTGTGCTTACAAACAAACTGTCTTTCGGACTTTTTAAACTAATCTATGCATATTACACTTCTTGGACCTGTGGTGTCATGCTCGAATAGCTGCCCTTTTATTGCAGCCTTCCTAATGGTAAAGCTCCAACAATATTAAATTGGAATCTTCAACGTGAGTGGCGCCTTAAACGACACATGGGCTACATGTCCAGGTCAGAGACCCCCTATGGTTCAGGTATAGGCATTTTTCATTCTGAACATTTCAACAGAAAGAGGGAACAGTCGATCAGCAGCATTCACCGCTAAAAATGATTTGTTTGACTTTTTGTGCCAAATAACAAGATTGTCTATCACTTTTATAAACGCTTATAGAAGACAGTATGGAGTATGTTCATCAACATCACGACTCCAACTTTGGTCTCTGCTATCTGCAGTAACCACTAGGGAATGCCCAGGCCCACCAATAATATCCATCGTTCCAAACTTAACAATGTGATGTGACTTCCATTGCTGACAGCAAAATAATTATTTCTCTTCCATCTTATGCCTATATATCATACCGATTTGCATATGATCATGTACAGCACCACTAGCGTCATTTATAAAACCAGTTACGTTATTTATACTTGCATGTACCATATGCAAAATACTTCACTCTCATGGTACATGATTCATTCTACAGGCTGTTCCAAATACTCATACTGCCTGTTAACAGTTATTTTTGACTCCAGTCTAGCAATGATATCAAATCTTACTCCAGTGATAACAAAACGTCGCCTAAAATCCGCATTAAAACTAATCAGATATCCAGAAAACGAGTAGCAACTACGTACTGGAAGTGATTAATATCAACAGAATTATTCGCATTATTAAATCAACTATGACTACAAACTCCAGATATATAAAACTTTAAATGTTCTGGACGTTTTATCAAGGGTTGGGTATTTTGCTGATTCGACTGTAGGTGTCTAACCCTTGATAAAGGTGTAAGTCGGGAACATTAAAGGTTTTATTTATCTGAAGTTTGTGGTCGTATTTATTTTAATAATTATTTCTAGTTTCCACTGTACACTTAGACGTAACAGAATTATACAGATATTTTACTAATATGAACTAACATCATGAATGAAATGTTGGTTACCTTTCTTTATAGTCCCTAGATATCTTAGAAAACACATCGATATCACACATTTAATTCAGCATTTTTTTGCCCCTTTTAATCTCAGTTAAATGAGATTTTGTATTTATAAGGAGACTTTTTAGTTATTTTGATATATATATGTAAAATAATTAGAAAAACTTACAGATTTGGCAAAAGTGAAGAAGCTCTTTGTTTCTCCAGACACAACATTCGAGGTTCCTAAGATAGATGACAAACAAGTACTGGGTAATTTGGATTATATAAACCACTAACGTTGTTGTTTGATGAAAGCTACTACATTCGAATAATTTCTCGCCGTTCATAATTACTATATTCTCGTACAAATATTTATACATCATAGAGAATTGATAAACTGTAAGTTGCAATTTTTCTTGTTTTTTAAAGTACTGAATGTAGAAGTTTATGCAAGGTTTGTTAACAGATTATGATATGAACTGGAGTTTTACTTCTTTGTCAAGATGGTTCAAGAAGGTTAAAAACAACACAAACTGAGCTGTCGTCTGTGGGTACTAACAAATCACAAGGTTTGGTTATAATAGCCTACTAGCTTTGATTGGGCTGGTAGTTTACAGAAATATATCATAGCTTCCGTAAGTATTTCTTTCTACTCATTATTACTGCAACATTTTTGAGAATGAAGAAAATATCATACCATATAGAACATAACGACCGAGAGGTTTCAGCAGCGAGTATCCTTTGTTAGTATCATCACCACATAAGCAATCCAAAACAAGGTCAACGCCATCTTGTGACAGTCTTAAGAAATACATTTTTCAGTCAAATATACCAAATGATTATTTACAAATCTGACAGATATATATAGAGTGTTTACAAAATATTATATTCGTAAGCCTATATAAAACAGAGTAGTGAGTTAAATGTTTACGGACAACACAATGACCAATTTATTGATGTTCGACACACGCGATCCAATTTTATTATTTCACAATTGTCCAAGATTTTGCTATTTTAAAGTTTTGCGAAAGATAAAAAGTATAATCTTAAATAAGCTGTTGTTCAATAAACTTTTTCAAAAATACCTGAGGCTAATCGATACGTTCTGATGGTTATTCAAGGAAATGACTATTAGTGTTTATTGAAAATCGACAAAATTTCCATGCCCCCCCCCCGAAACTATCTACATTTACGAAAAGGCTCACAAATGTTAAATTTAAGTTAAACGTTTTAACATAAATGCTTGATAACCTTTAATTTAATTGTTCTAGTATTTCTTTGAGTTTTTACTAATATTTAGCAATGTGCATTGTACTTCTACAATTATAGTTTGTTTGTTTGTAATTAAACACAAAGCTACACAATGGGCTAACTGTGCTCTGCCAACCACGGGTATCGAAACCCGGATTCTAGTGTTGTAAGTCCGCAGACATACCGCTGTCCCATAGGGGGCTACAATTAGGGAGTGATCTCAAATTTCCATAGAAAGTTACTTAACATGTTCCTCTAAGGTTCTTCTGTTTAAAAGTTTAATATATCTGTATGTTATGTTTAAAAACACCTGGTATAGTGTTTATACACTGCACACAAGGAAAAAAAATTGAGCTGGAATTAACAATGAACCTTTGGTCCCATAACTAAGATTATTTATACCCGTTAGCTAAAGTTTCATGGTGATCAGAGTTTGAGAAGTTAAATATTTTCTTTACGAACAGACAAAAGGTGCTTTGTAGTAGAGTTGAATATCACCAGGACGTTGCTACATAAATGCCGTTATATTTCAGGTTTGACCTGGTGCTTTCCTTTTATTAGTCAGTGTTTTTGCTGGTAATAATATATATATATATATATTTATTGCATTCATTTCCTCACATTCATGTAACATAAAGAGATTAGCAAACAAAAAATAAGCCCACATAAAAAACTGTTATACATCTTCGAAAAATCTTCCAAATTCCAAATTAAAGTTAATGCCTTAATGATATACCTTGATATGCGTTACATTTTCTGAGATCAATTGCTTTCTCAGTCTTTCCCATTACTTCAATAGTATTTATTACGCTTAAACAAAATAAGATGCCCTCAAGTTTCCACAGAAAGTTACTTAAAATGATGCTGTCAAGTTCTGATATTAAAGCATATAATATATCTCTATATTAGATCAGAATATGCTTGGTATAGTTATTATATACTGCACACAACGAAAAACAAATGTGCCAGAATAAACAATTAAACCGTAATGCTTGGAGACAGCTTGAATAGGTAACGAAGAAAAACTTTAATATACGTTTAACATAACAGCAAATGTTCAACGTTTCGACAAGGTTTTGTCGTCATCAGGTACCTATGTACATTTGCTGTTATGTTAAACTTATATTAAAGTTTTTCTTCATTATCGATTCAAGTCGTCTCCAAGCATTATAGGTCTCAAAGTGGATTCCTCGTCATCGAAATTAAACCGTAAATTTCGTGACTGAGGTGGTTTACTGAGTCAACATTGTAACCTCACTTTTTTCCCAGTATTGTAGATTGGATTTTAATCGTTTATCAATTTTATTTAGATTTTACTTTTTCTGTTTTTATCGATAATTTTACATAAAAATTATCAAAGCGCATGTTTATAAGATTAAAAATTAAAATCAACTTTCCATACAAACCTATTTTTGAAATACCTGTGATCATTTATTCAATATGTCCTCGTTATCGTGAGCTGCTTTTACATGGAAAAAATATTAATGTTTTAAGACAGGGGTTTGGCATTTTCCCAGGAAAGCTTAAAGATAAACATTTAGCTAACATTAGAATTTTGTCGTAGATTAAAAAAAACAAACAAACACGAAACTCAAACACTTTCGAATAGTTGACTGTCAATAGTTTACTACCAACTATTCGATAGCGCTCGAGTTTCTAGGTCTTTTGAAATTTTCTTGACTTTTTATGGCGATCTTTTATGCTATTTCTTTCATCATGGCTGATTTGACTTTTAAAAATTAAATATGTATATTGTTACGACAGCGGAAGTCGCATGACGCTGGGAGCATGCGCGCTGGAGTTTCTAGAATTATCGGGGAACCTCGCGAATGTCCGAGTGTTTGCTAGACGCACTCTTTTTTATTATATAAGCCTGGCGAGAAAAACCAGCGCAATTGCAGAGATAGATAGAGTGAAGAGATAGATAACTGAGTCAAGCGAACAGTAGGCACGGTAAGTAAAGTGTGTGAATCACTGTGATTTATAGCGTGTGTTATAAAGGTTGTTAAGTTTAAAGTGACTGTGGAAATTCTATGTATTACAAAGTTGTATCGAGAAAGAATAAATTAGTTTTAATTAAGAAAGGACTTGTATCGCTGAAGTTCCTCGGAAAGAATTTATACCCGAAATTAACAAACAAGCGGATACGGAACAATATTAACACCACAATATTAACTTGACATAAACGAACTGTTATTTGAGTAAGCTTATTTTAAAAACACTTTCATTCAAGGGGGTGTTTGTATAAATGTTTTACACCTTTTTTTACAATGAAAAACTTAAGGGTAATCAATGACGTCAAATAAACTCAGTAGGTGGAATGGTTATGACTTTTTCCTTCTTCAATTTGTTGAATATATTTGACGTTAGTTTTAGTTTTTGTAATAATGGTAATCCCAATTTAAAAAAAAAACACACCACTGAAAGTGTTTTTTGAATACAACTTGACAAGTCTGTGATATAGCTTAATATTTCAGGCAAAAAACACCAAGTTAGTGTAACCTCAGTCACGGGTTAATACTGATATTTGTTGGTTGTAAGTTATGTGTTAACTTTAGAGATGCACGGGTAGTAAAATTTGGCCTAATACTAAGCTTCGGCCGGGGCCGGGTGTGAACCGGGAATGGGTTCTCCCCTTTGCTCCCCCCCCCATAAAAACAACAAACACAAAAATTAGAAACAAAAACAAAGTTGACGTTTATTACATTTAACCAAATAATCACCAAAACATTCAAGTTTAACTTTCAACTTTCAGTGCCTAGCCCCATCTTCTCAAACCCTAAACTCTATTGTTGTCAAAAACCCCACCTTCTCCAGAAATCCACTTCTCAAGCCATGCCTGTTATTAACCATTATTGTTCTCTGAAGCTCCGATTTTCAGTGGGAGGTCAGCTTTTATTGCTCGGAACACGTTTTTTTTGTTTTTTTTAACTAAACCAATTATTGATTATAACTTTCAGTACCGCGTTAGTTGCTACTGTTACGCCTCCAGTCGTTACTTAATTTTCCGTAACTTCGTTCCGACGAAACTTTAGCAACACAAGTTCTTTCTTAAATACAACTGGTTTATTCTATCTGAATATAACTTTGCGATACACTTAATTTCAACAGTCGCGCTATAATTCTCAACGAACTTCTCACGTGCTTAACAATATTCTCTCTGACTGCAGTTCAATTACTCATTACCTACACATTGTCCCGTCACGTTGTGACCATCTTATATATATACCACACTACCCCCAATCTAGTAATCTTCCGACAATTCACGAAGGTTCGAGAAAGAAGTGGCGTGATACTAGTCACGTGACCTCGCTGACGCAACACTACAAAGATTAGGATTTATATGCTACATCGACACTCGGCCGGATCCGAGTATTACCAGGTAGCCCACTACCCGGCCGCGGCCGAATATCTGGCTGGGTACCCGTGCATCCCTAGTTTACTTAAAGAATAATTTATAACGTATACCATGAAATTTCCGAAATTTTCATTTTTGCATTGGAATATAATCATTTGCGTATTCACAGGACATTAGCCCTATTAATAAGAAATATTTAGGGAAACATTCTTTAAGAAATCATTAACTATAATCAACTCAAAACCAGAATCCACATGACATAAGCTGTTTGTTGAATTTTCCGCAAAACTACTCGAGGGCTACTTGCGCTAGCGGCCCCTAATTTTGAATCGATAGATTAGAGAGAAGGCAGCTAGACAACACCATCAACCGCCAGCTATTGGGCTATTCTTTTATCACGAATAATGGTATTGGCCATAACTTTATAACGGCCGAAAAGGTGAGAATGTTCTGTGATGGGGTTAGATCCCGTGGCCCGTGGACTGGGGATTGAGTGCTCTAACCATAAGACCGTGCCAATGTTACACAGAACCATTCATAGTACATGTTTGCGTAAACTCGTGATCATAACCAGGTTAAATTTCAGACCCCAAATCTTTAAACGTACGTGCATGTTAGCACAAAATAATAAACATAATTAAATTAATTTGTGGAGCCAAAGCCGGAGATAATGCTACTTTCTCAAAACTTTAGTATTTGTGTACAAATATTGTACATAAACAATCGCTAACTATCATTACGTATATAATATGAATCTACTAAACAAACATTTTTTGAAAACTAAACAAAATTGTTATTCCTTGTTTAGATTATAGTAAGTGAGCCAAGTTCCAGCTCAATATCACAATTTACAAGTAATTGTATGAAGCGGACCTCAAAAGTCACCTGTTGACTCAGCGGTAATTTTAGGAGATTATAACACTAAAACTATTGATTCGATACTCGCGATGAGCAGAGCACAGTTAAGCTATCATGTAGCTTTGCGCTTAACAACAAAACAAGCAAACCTCAATGAAATAATAAAATACGAAATTATGTGGCGCCATCTGATTAAAAAAAAATCAGGTCCTTCGAGAAATTATCTGATAAATACGTTAAAAGTGAACACATACATTAGTTTGAGTATGGCTTTAGTTGAGAATTAAGAACGTTTTCCAGAAAAGTTAGTGGCACTTATCTAATACTGGCACGCCCATAAACACGCTCTGACCACTTTTTATTTTCATACGCGACCTGAAATAATTTATCACTACATTAGTAAATTGTTGATTACTTGTTTACTACTCATACTTTTTGACTTCTTGGACATAATCGCTGTCATGGTCGATAACGTGGGTCACTGAGTCTTTGATGGATTCGTGCTTATGTCGTGATGCTGTACCAATCACGATGACGTCAGGGACAGTCTTACATAACTGCGCAACTGCCTGGCCCTAAAAGTATCAACGAAAAAAAAATCATGAATCATTAATTTATGAAAAGGAACTTGGCTTATTTGTTGTTAAGTTTATATATATATATATACAATAAATGGTTAATTGACTTATCAACAGTGGTAAATCACAAAATTACATTTTCGTCCTTTTATAATATTTATATTCCACGAACTCAACTTCTTTGAACTATTTTTCTGAACTGAGGCTTACTCAAGTGTTGATTATTTTCAAATACTGTATCGCAACATTTATACCGTACTGCAACAGTTAAAGCTTTCAGAATATTCCTTCGTTCTTATTGTATAACTGGATTATTTTTGGCACGTTAAAATGAACTTATAGCCTCAGACTTTATGTGCATTTTTTATATAGACATCGATTAGACTCTTT